GGTTTCATGTCCCGCACGCTAACACCAGCTGAGAAGAGATACTCACAACTGGATAAAGAGGGCTTAGCTATCATGTTTGGAATAAAGAGATTCCATAAATACATCTATGGTCGAATGTTTACGATCAGCACGGACCACAAACCACTGATCTCACTTTTCCACGAGAAGAAGCCCGTTCCTCAGATGTGTTCACCAAGAGTGCAAAGATGGGCAACCCTACTCCGGGCATACGAGTACAAAATAATTTACAAACCAGGAAAAGAGCATGCAAATGCAGACGCACTGAGCAGGTTGCCGCTGCCACATACTGAAGAAGAAGAAGAGACAGCACAAGTCCTTCTGCTGGATCTGATGGAAGATCCGCCTATCACATCAGTTCAGGTGAAGCAGTGGACAGCCAAAGACGAAACACTGTCGCAAGTGTTACTCTGGTGCATGAAAGGTTGGCCAAAAGAAGTGGACACAGTGTTCAAACCCTACTCTAAAAAGAAACTAGAATTGAGTGTGAAAGATGGGTGTGTCCTCTGGGGGTCAAGAGTGGTCGTTCCGAAGAAAGGAAGGAGCGTCATACTGAAACAGCTGCACGCCACGCACCCAGGGATGTCCAGGATGAAAGGTTTAGCACGCTCATATGTGTGGTGGCCAGGAATGGATTCTGATGTCGAGAAGGAAGTTCAGTCCTGCCACACATGCCAAGAAAATAGGAAGTGTCCTGCAGGGGCGCCACTTCATCCATGGGAGTGGCCAGAAACACCCTGGAGCAGGCTGCATATTGATTATGCAGGTCCTTACCTTGGAAAGATGTTCCTGATAGTAGTGGATGCACATTCCAAATGGATTGATGCCTACCCAACAAACACTGCAACAAGTCAGGTGACTATTGAAAAGCTGAGACAGTGCTTTAGCATACATGGTCTTCCCCAGACAATAGTATCTGACAATGGAACATGCTTTACCAGTCAAGAGTTTGCAACATTCCTGAAGCAGAATGGAATACAGCATAAAACATCCGCACCTTTCCACCCCGCATCGAACGGACTAGCGGAAAGAGCTGTTCAGACATTCAAACAGGGAATTAAGAAAACAAAAGGAGATACACTGGAAACAAAAATAGCCAGGTTTCTGTTCAACTACAGAATTACACCACAAAGTACGACTGGCTTGTCACCCGCTGAAATGCTCATGTCCAGAAGACTGCGTTCTACACTGGATCTTTTGCTGCCAGATGTGAAGTCAAAGATTCGTAAGAAACAACTCAAACAAAAAGAACATCACGACATACACAGTAAGTGGAGAAGTTTTGCACCTGGAGATGATGTATATGTCCGTAACTACAGCTATGGACCAAAGTGGATACCAGCAGTAGTGGATGAGAACACTGGACCCGTATCCTATACAGTGCAGGCTGGAGATGGACGTGTGATGAGACGTCACGTCGACCAGATTCGTAAGCGTCAAGCATCATCAAACGAGATGTCCAGTCATGAGGTGGAAGGAGAGCCTGTCAGCCTGCAGTTGCCAGAGCAGGCAGTGGAGGTCGTGCCTGCAGACCCAGGTGTTCCAACTTCAGTGGGAGGGGAAATGACTGAGCAGCCTGCTGAGTCAACCCAGGTTCATCCTCCAGCTGAACTTTCGCTAGGGACAGAAGCCCAAAAGACACCTGTGCTGCGAAGATCTGCACGCACCAGACAGACTCCTGCTTATCTGAGAGACTTTGTTAATTAGAATTCATATCCTTCAAGAAAGAGTCAGAACATGCTCTGGGACATGCATGGGAAGGTTTGGCAGTTTACCCAACCTTCCTAGTTTAAAAAAAAAAAATAAAAAATTGTCATGAGAGTTATTTGGTTTGATTGTTGGCATTTGACCTTTAATCTTGAAAGGAGTAGAGTAATATGGTTGAGTTATTAAAAAAAAAAAAAAAAGTCCTAGGTTGTGTTAAGATTGAGTATCTATGTAGTTTCACTGTTAAGCAAAAGTAAGGTTAATGTGAGGGTGACATAGTTAATAGATTTAAAGTTCATTTACAAGAGTACTTTAAACTTAAGAGGGGAGGGATGTAGTATCCTGAGTTAGTTATAATATGCAGTACTACCCCCACGCCACAAGAGGGATTGTATTCCCATGTTAGTTATGGGCGAGCTAAGATATGCATAGAGAGGCAGAAAGAAGTTGGTTGTTGGTTCTGTGAGAGTGTGCAATAAAGACACCTAAAAAAAGGACATGCTTCGGCTGGACGTGGATTTTTCATAATTAGTCACGTTATCACAATGAAAAAGAAAGAAAAAAGCTCTCTGAGATTCCCCTCTCTGCCTCAGTCAGCATAAACCGTCCGTCAGCCTTTATTGCTGTGTTTTCCTTTTCTTTACATGTAGCTCTATTATGTTTTTATTATAGGCCTTTAAAAAAATCTCAATCTCTTCTGGTTTAAGAGATTCTGCACAGACTCATAAAGTTGGGCTTTGCTTTGTAGCTGTGCCACGGTTTTTAAAATTCATTTATTTTTGATAACTTTTTTTAATCTGTCTGAGTCAAATGTGGGAAATTGTTTAAAGGAAAAGTTCGGTCAGCGAGGAATAATCAATGGATCATTATTTATACCTAAAACATATACGTTTGATTTGTAAAAAAAATAAAAACAATAATTGTCTTTGCGATCTCTGAGTCTGGCAGCGGCCATCTTTGCCCAAATATAGTAGCCCCTCCCTCCTACCATCTTCCAGCAGTGACGTCACGGTGCGGTAAGCCTAGCGCCATTCTCCCCGCTTTCCAAGCTAAATCAATGGGAACTACTAGACACATCTGCAATCAACTACAATTATTGAAGATTTCCAGAGGACTTCACCATTGAAATTCACCAGAGCTATAGTGAAACTGACAATGCCCACGTGCATGGCAGCTGGATGCTGGAATACATCGGGTAAAAGTGAAAAAAAGAGTTATTCCACCTTTCTGATTCCTGATCCTCCACGGACGGGTTGGTCGTTGGATCGCCAACTTGAAGAGGGAGGATTTGCCATCGAACTTCTGGCCAGAGAAAAAACCCGTAATATGTAGCCAACATTTGGAAGAAGAATGTTTTCAAGATGACTTGGATAATAGCGCGTTGTGACAAACACCAGATACAGCACTGGGACTTGATCAACAGCCGATACCGCACCGTGACAATGTCACTAACCAGTAGGTGGCAGTAGTGTTCTTTGACAAACATGGATGCCTCCAGTAAAGCACATTCACATGGAAATGACTCTGAATTAAAAACACTGATCATTTATTGAACAGGATGGAATCATTTCAGATTTAAAGAACTTTCAGAAGTTTTTATTCTGATTATGAGCGACTTTTCCTTTAAGCTAATGTTAAACTCTTCAAGGCAGTACTACTGTAGGCCTTGTTGCTATATATTTTTATTATATTCAGTGGTAGGAATCTAGAACTAATACTCATGTTCAGTTTACATTTCTGAAGAAGTAGTTTTTCGAAGAAGACAGAATCAGGGAAGTAAACAATGGAGAACAACATAGAAGGAAGCCAGGTTATAGTCAGTGAGCTTTATTGCTTCTCTCTATTAGCTGTATGAATTCCTTTCAACAGAGCTGCTCATTGTTTATCGAATATAAACAGAGTTGTTTCTGGTTGTTAGATCAGAAGCGACTTGCACGGTGTGTTGACATCCGTTTGTTACGTTCAATGGTATCACGTAATTTAGTGGGTGATGTTCCCATAGCATGCCAATCAGATCCGAGGCTGGTTGTTTGACTCATTTCCAATGCCACTAAAAGCAGATTGTTCCTGGGTTTAAATGGGTATTTTAGCCAGAAGGAAAGAGGTATAACAGTCTTACTGTATTTAAGTAAGATAAAGTCCTTAGCCAGGAGTTTCAGGTAGGATTTGATGTTGCCCGTTCTGGCCCCCGTCAGACATCTGATTATGGTCCCATCACTATCCATCCATCGATTTTCTGACACGCTTGTCCCAATTGGGGTCGCAAGGGGTGCTGGTGTCTATCTCTAGCTGTCTGCGGGCGAGAGGCAGGTTCCACCCTGGACAGGTTTCCAGTCCATCACAGGGAAACACAGAGACAAACAGGACAAACAACCAGTCACACTCACCTAAGGAGAATCTAGAGAAGCCAATTAACCTACAGTCATGTTTTTGGACTGTGGGAGGAAGCTGGAGTACCCAGAGAGAACCCACGCATGCTCAGGGAGAACATGCAAACTCCATGCAGAAAGACCCTGGGCCGGAAATCGAACCCAGAACCTTGTTGCTGCTAGGCAGCAGTGCTACTCACTACTCCACTGATAAGCCTGATTATGTTACCTGGTGTCTCTAATGCCACATTTATGGAGCTGCCAATTACCAGAGTGGGCTTCCCAGTGGGGGCGTCACCGAGTGGGGAAAATTGGTTAGAAACGTGGCTGTTCAGGAACTGCTGAAGGACCACTACAGGGGTGTCTCCCTGGCCTCGGTGGCGCCCAGCTGTTAGCTAATATGTGTGGTCTAACGCTTGGATGTTCAACATCACAAATCTGGGAATCTCACCTCCAAAGCTACAAAAATACAACAATATTATGCAAACAATTATCGCTAAAGGAGGCAGAGAAATAGCTGAACATCTGACACAGAGAGAAGGATAGTGGAGAGGGAAGTGATGAGATACATCTCTCCAATGGTTCAGGTATCGGCTCTAATCCCTAGAGCAGCCATAATGTCTACCTTAGTTGGTCCTTAGGGCCCACAGTCCTTCATGTTTTAGATGTGTCTCTACTCAAGCACCTGATTCAGATGATTGCATTTCCTCAGAAACAGTCCTCAAATGCTGCAAAAGCCTGTTAATTCAGTTCAGTTGTATAAAAGCAGGAAAAAACCCTAAAACATGTAGGAAAGAGGGCCCTGAGGACCAGGGTTAAGAAACCCTGGTTTAGGGGACATGGTCCCAGCTGCGTCCATGGTCTGAGTCTGCTGTGTCCTCCCATCTCATCTCTCCTCTTCTTTAGATTCAACCCTCTGAAGGCGCTGCAGCCCAAACGCCGCTTGCAGCAAATACTGGCCTCCTCGCCCGTGCCGGCGGCTTCCAAGCCGGCATCGGGATCGGGGACGAGTGCGGTTGCGGCTTCTGCGCCGGCGGCTGCTCCGGTGCCCGGGCCTCCTGCGTGAGACACTGTTGGATTAGTCTGAGCGAGCATGCTCTGTGGCTGTAGCTGTAGCTCTGACGCTGTAGCCACTAAAACATCAACCAGGAAACAAAAACACTCAGCTAGGATTAATTTGCTCTCAGGCAGCCTTCTTCCTGTAGTTCTGCAGATTTGGTGAATATTCTGATATCTGAAACTCTGCTGGTAGACATGAACATGGAGTTCATTTTGGAGAATCTTAGCTTGTGTTTAGTGGCTATAGTGGAATCAGCTGTGCCATGAAAGCACACGGTGATCCTGAGTGATCACTGCCTCACCGCTCACCGCTTCGTCCCGTTAAACCTCTCAGACCCTGACCTCACCTCAAACATAGAAGATCTTTGTTCTGTTTTTTTTTTTTTATTCTGTCAAGTAACCAAGTAGAAATACTCTGTTCCCTTAATTAAGTAGAAATGTTTAAGTAGAAACTTTTTACTTTCTACTCCTTACATTTAAAAAATAGACTCATTATTTTAGTTTTATTTAAGCTCATTTTCATTATGACCTGTTTATATTTAAAAAAAATATAAACCATCAAAATAATTTGTTTAATCCAGACAATTTCTTTCTGGACTCGGTGCTGCCCCAACTTGTTTCTCACCACATACCAGAATAAATCATTTTCCAAGATGATGCAAAGTTAAATGTGACGCTTTTTCCATCAGTTATAAAACTAAGAAAATGAAGTCAAATTATCCAGAACGTTCCTTTAATAGCGTAGAGCAGGAAAACTTCTGGCCTTAACTTTTTGTCCTGCATTACTTTTACTTTTATACTTTAAGTAGTTTTAAAAATGTTTTTTTTACACTTTTACTGGAGTAAAAAGCCGAAGTTGATCCTCTAACTTCTACAAGTGTTTTGAAAGAGTAGGATTTATCTTTCTACTAGAGTGATATACTTTAGTTTTCTCCTAACATGCGATCTTCCAGAATGACCTCTGACCTTTCGATGATCAGCACCTGATTGATTGATGCTAGCAGCTGATGTTCAGCTCCACCATCTAACAGATGTTTGACCGAGAGGCACCTAAACCCTGCTCCACTGCGCTCCCTGTCCTCCACCCTGTCCTCCACCCCAACATCTGACCTCTTCCTTTGATGTACGGCACAGGACACGATGACTCAACACAACCACAGCCATGGAGGATTTTATTGCTTCAGCTTTCATTTTTAGAAGCTGCTGCAATTAATTTAAGGACTTTAACTTCCTTTTTTAAGTATTTATTTTGGAATAAAGTCCTGGTAATGGATCCTAATAGTTCCACTGAAAAGTCGACTCACTACATCCTCCAGGCTACATGAGGAGAAACTTTATGAGAAAACACAAAGTGAGAATTTATACAATGTATAAAGTGCATGTAAAATAAATCTAGATGAATTAATAACTTTCAAACTAACAAACACCCTTTGGGAAACCCCCCCCCCAGAGGAAAACCAATCAGGGAATTCCATTTTTAATACGTAAAGATAATTAACTAACAGCCTTTAAATGACAGGAAAACGCTTTCGCCACCAGCTGCTTTTCTTTTTATCTCATTTCTTCTGATTTATAGATATTGAACCTGATATTACTGGATGCCTGATTAAGGCAAAATATTCACCAGAAGAAACAAAACTTTCCACTAAATTTGACTTTCCAAGTTTCTCAACAAAGAAACTGGAAGAAAAAATCCTGGAAAAAATCCTGGAAAAAAAAACAGCATCCAGAAGAAACTTCCAACGAATAGTAGAGATGATAAAATGTTATGGGCTGAAATCGTGTCTCATTCAGTATGAATAGAACCAGAGAGAAGCCGTAATATATACAGACGTTACCTCAATCATTTTAGGACATTTTTGTTTAGATAATGTGTGATTTGATCATCAGAGGAAGACGAGGATTGGCTGCCATGTTAGTAGGAAGTCATGTGGTTTTAGCAGGATGAGCTGATAGGCCCCTAATATGGAGTCATCATCACTACAAGACAATAGAACAGAATAGAAAATCCCTTTATTTTCCCTCAGTGGGGAGATTCTGGTGTTTAAAGCAGCAAAAACATTGTAGAATAAATGGTCACATAAATGTGGACCTTGGAAAAATGTTGAAGAATAACATAATAGTGAAGAGTTAAAAAAATATATATTACTACACGTTAAAGTGTTTTAACGACATAAAACTGATCAGCTGGAGAATAAATAACCAACATCCAGCTATGGACATTTTTTCCAGTAATATGAAAATAGCAGCAACATCAGAGATGTGCAGAATGACAGCAGCAGGTTATTTAACTGACTAAGGTAGAAACTGAGCAGAATCAGCATGAATGGAAGAACTGGTTGAGGTTGTTGGGAACAGTGGTGGTTCTAGAGTCTTCCAGCTGCTGGGAGGAAGGATCTGTGATAACGCTCCCTGGTGCATTTAAGGTGCAGCAGTCTGTCACTGAAGGAGCTGTCCAGTTCAGCAACAAGCAAGAACAATGATTATGATTATGATTTCTAAGGGGAATTTAAGATCATAGAACTAGTTATGGTAGAACTCTAGATTAACAGAGGATTAAATGTCCGTTCCTCTAAATTACCCGGACAAAACAAAGCATGGGTTTACCTTGTAGTGACAGTGTCCTGTGTGAATAAACCTGTCATGGCCGCTTTATCCGTGGCCTCCTCCTGTGGAGGCCAGTGACTGGGCAACAGAAACTAAGGTTAGCCTCTCTAGGTGGATCCAAACCATGACTCTAGGTTCTACTAGCAGCAAGTTGCCCATCACAGAGCATCATCTTCCTCGGCCGTTCAGCATGTTCCTAAATGAAGACCGGAACCAGGAGCAAATGGCTGGCAGAACTTTTCCAGACAAAACCAGATTTATCTATAAAATGGTCTGTAGACGAATTAAATGCATAGAGGGAGAAAAGGGCAAGAAGAGGAGCCTGCTGTTGCTACCTGCTTCCAGTCTTTAGACCCTTGGTTTGTATTTGCTGATCAGGCTGAAGACGTCTGCCTGCTTCCTGTTTGCTGCCATCTTTAGACTTTACCACGATATGCAAACATTTGCATATTTTTATCATTCCTCACTAACTTTCTTTTCTTTATCAGACTTCAGGCAATTGAAAGATGTTACAACCTGTTAAAGCTCCATAAAACTCTGAGAATTTAGCTTTTTATGATATAATCTGTGGAATGAATATTGGCTAAAAAAAGGGTTATTAATCCAAATCTAGATTTAAAATCTTAACATTTTATTTTCAAAGACTTACTTTAGCATTCCAGTGAAGTAGGTATTAGGTGTATTGTCATCATTGATGAACCTAATCCTCATTAAAACTCAGCTGATTATGGAGAAACATTGAAAAATAAAATGCTTCAGAATCAACATGTTTGTTAATGACTAAATATTTTTTATTTAGAGTTAATTCTCCTGGTTCTCTCTGAAAAGTCTATTGCTATGTTCAGATCGCGCGCAGCAGAAGCAGCAAAAACGCAGCTACAGATTCATTTTTTAAGGTTGTACAAATCCAGGAAGCTTTTTCAATTCAAAATGTCAGGAATGGTGTTGAGTTCAAGGTTCGAGGTCAACGCTATTTCTGACATTTTGAATTGAAAAAGCTTCCTGGATGGGAAGCGAAGCGTCTTCAAACTGGGAAACAAAGTCCAGTGGATTGATTTTATTTATTTTTTGGAATAACTATGACCTGGATGACTGAGAACCCTCATCAGCATATTGTACAAGTTTAGTTCTGCTCCAGCTGCGCGGTGGTAAAGTGGGTCTGATGCGTGGTGGGCGGAGCTACCCTATCCTTCTCTGCCTGGAACAATGGCAGCTACATTAGCTGTGATCAGCGGGTAGAAAGTAGTTAGAATCTATGTTGAAGTGAGAAAGTCCTCCTGAAAACATGGTCTGTGCAGTCAGTTCATCCAGATTACCATCCTGCCTTCAAAGATTATTTCTCTGTGGAAGCCGCTCAGACCCCCACATACCGGCGCTGCGCTGTCACTGGGAATCCCCAGCAGCAGCTGCCTCAGGCCCGCTCGCCTCTCCAGGGTTTTCCCCTCCTGTTGGTGGCGGCTGGAAGTAGATGTTAGCGTTTTTCAGGTCTGTGCTACAAACTGCAGGCAGCAGGATAATAAAAGCCAACATATTCTGCCGGCAGGTTTCTACATTTAATTTAGGCGTTAATAAACTGTTTCAGAGGAGTGATCATAGCGCTCTGCATCAGCAGTGCTGCGTCTGACTCCCTGCCAGCTCCCAGATCAGCTTCTCTCATTGGTTGATGCGGCGTCCAGCAGCTAAAGTTACATTTTTCCAACTCCAGCAGCTGCTGCTTTTCGCATCAGAAGCTCATGAGGCGCTGTTCCTGCTCAAAATGTGCTGCAGGACCTTTTTCTGCACCTTGACTTTGCATGTAAACTGTCTGCTTCTGCTGCCTCTGTTGCTTGCGGTCTGAACGTAGCATTAGCTTGTGTTTCTAGCGTTGCTGCTATGGTCTGTTGTCTGCCAGTAAAGACCCTTCAGCTGTAGATTGCTCTATATAGATGCTCCACATGGGAAGCTACAGTAGAGTGAGTGGCCCATCTATTAAAGGCATGCTCTCCTGGGTCAGTTTGGAGCTTGTTGATGTTCGTGCCTGAAGGCAGTGTGTCAGGGAAACATGCAGTAGTGGTCTGTTGAGTCATCTTCTGCAATTTAATCCCTTCCTTTCTCCGCCTGCTCAGGTTTGACTACTGCAGGTTCATAGAACTAGATTATGTCCCCATGGAGTCGGGCTATATGGTCTCTATGCGCCCAACAAAAGGCTACGCATCGACCAAGTCGCCCACTAAAGGATACGCCTCTACCAAGTCTCCGGATCGCCGCTCCACCAACTCCCCCTCCACCCCACGGTCCCGGTCTGTGCTGAGTCCAGATTGGTGTTTTTAGCACGGGAATGTTGTTACTGTCTGATGACGTCTCAGAGTCAGAGAGACAGAAATGTTCTGACTGCTTGAACTCTTCCTGCCTTACTTTTCTTGCATGCTTCTTGTTCTTCCTCTCAATGTTTTGTCTGATTCTTTTTTATCTTTGATCCGTTCCCTTCTTGAAAATAACTGTAATATTATTATCAGTGCCTGAAGAAGTGTGTCCATGTTTGTCATATTTCCTGTTAGTTTCCTCTTAAATGTGAGTTGTGATGTTTTCTGTGCTGCAGTGGCATGCTGGTGACCATAAATCAAGGATCTGCGTTTCTGTGGATGTTGTGGCTTTGCTTACCTGGCCATTTAGTTCTGTGCTGGTATGTAAAGATGAACAACTGGTTTCTCCTTTCCAGGCGAGCTCCAGCTGCACCCAGTAACAGAGATCCACATGGAAACGTCTCCATCAGCAGCGGCAGCAACTCCGGCTCATGTAAAGGCAGTGACTGCAGCCCCACCAAAGGGTAAGCAGCTACTGAGAGTGATGCTCAACTGTAGCGCCGGTCACCATAGCAACGATTCACAAGGTCATCTCAAGGAACTTTACAGAGACGAATCAACCAGATCATACAAAGACATACATGTCATCTCAGGTCACTTTCCAGTTCACCAGATCATCCAGTCAGATTGATTCAAAGTTTTCTATCTAAGGAAAACCAGCTGATTGCATCGACTCATTGACTCTTCAGCAATCCCTCACACTAAGCATGCTTGTAGCGACAGTGGAGAGGAAAAACTCCCTTTGAACAGGAAGAAACCTCCAGCAGAACCAGGCTCAGTGTGAGCGGCCATCTGCTGAGGCCCACTGGGGTTCAAGGAGACAGAAGCAGACATAGAAAAAGAAGCATAGATACAAAAGGCAACTGTCAACCAGCTCCACAGGCGGCCCCGTCCAGGAAACACACAGCCAGGCAGACGAGCTCCGAGCCAGCTCCCATGTCAGAGGATGAAGAGAGCACATCCAGTTAGTCACAGTCAGAGAAACAGGACTACACTGGAAAACAGGCCAAGCTCCAACATCTAGAAACAAAGGTGTTGATGGCAGCAGCACAGCTGATATTTCTCTCCAGGATGGAGTCACAGCCAAACAGGAACAGACCAGATGAAGCTACTATGAGAAAAAGCAGAGAGAGCAGAACGTTAGAGATTGAACTAACAGATTCTGCAGAGTGGGAGAATAGAGATAGAATGAAGCAGAATGATGAAAAAGGGGTCCCTATGTCCTCCAGCAGTCTAAGCCTATAGCAGCAGAACTATAGAGATAGATCAGGATAACCTGAGCCACTCTAACTAGAAGCTTTATCAGAAAGGAAAGTTTTAAGCCTAGCCTTAAAAGTAGACTAGCCAAATAATCTTGACCGTTTGACATTTTCTCAAACGGTATTTAAAGGAAAGCGAGTTGATTTAAGGTTCCCTCTCAGACCAGACAATGCACTCATCTGTATTTCTACTCCATTAGAAAACCAAGAGAGTTCTCGGTTTATATTAACTGTTTATAACCTTCAAACCCAACCTTGATGCTTTCTGAGGCGTCAAACACAGCAGTCTGTTTGGGTTAATATGTTCACTTCTAAAAACGCTCCTTAATTGTCACTTTTCTTTATATTTTTGTCACAGACGTCAGAAATACACTTCATGTACGGACAACCATGGCATTCGCCCTCCTCCCCCAGAGCAGTATCTCACACCTCTCCAGCAGAAGGAGGTCTGTATCCGACACCTGCGAGCCAAGCTCAAAGAAACCATTACCACGCTGCAGGACAGGTGAGCTACTGAGACACAACTAGACAAACCGAACAGCAGTTCATCTTCAGGTCCCTCCATGTTCTGAGTTTTGACCCTTTCTCTCATTTTTAAACCTTTAGAGACACAGAGATCGATGAGCTGCGAACTCGGCTCTACCGAATGCAGGAGGACTGGGTTGAGGAGGAGTGTCATCGCGTGGAAGCTCAGTTAGCTCTGAAGGAGGCTCGTCAGGAGATCCAGCAGCTGAAAAACGCTGTGGACACAGTTCGTTCCAGGCTTAGTGATGCCGGCGGGCTCAGTGGAGATGTAGGAGTTCAGAAGTACTTCCAGGACATCAACACTCAGAACCACAAATTAGAAAACCTTCTGCTCAGCATGGAGTTAGCCCAAGCAGGACTAGCCAAGGAGGGAGAAGCCCTCCAAGGCTGCCGGACCCGGGCTGGGGGCTCTGCTCCAGCGTCCGTTTCTGGAGAAAGTCCTGGAGTTGTCCCCAAGCTGACGGTGGGAGGGAGAGGGTCTTGCTCTTGCGATGGCTCTCCAGCTCGTTCGTTGACTCGGAGCTCCACCTACACCAAGCTGAGCGACCAGGCTCTGGGGGAGCGCCACTGTAACGACGCAGACTTTCCTTGCCTGTCGGGGGACGGCACGCAGGACAGCGGCTTCGTGTGCTGCGGGGAGACCGGCGTCCCCAGCAGGGCCGACCTCCTGCTGGAAGCTGCCTACCTCTCTGAGGAGACGGCTACGCTGCTTAACTCCTACCAGCAGACCATCTCCCACACTTTACCCCATTCTGCCCCCCCCTCCCTGCCTCACATGTTCTCCCACACCTTGCCGCATTCTTTCCCTCGAAATATGTCCCACTCGGTGCCACACACCATGCCTCACTCCTCCACCTATGAGAAACTCTGCACTGCTGAGCGGCTGGCTCCGTTTCACTGCAATCTGGGCGGCGTGAGCTGCATGAGCCACCCCTGCCTGTCCCACCACCACCTCTACCTGCACCCTTTGAGGGAGGCGGGCATTCAGACCGAGAGCTGCCCGATCCCTGCAGCTACAGGGTATCCCTCTGACCTGGACACTATCGCAGAGCAGCGTACGTTCCGCTCTCAGGCCTGCAGTCCCACCTCCACCTGGATGTCTGACGAGGGGGAGGAGGATCTGGACTCCATCACCACCACCACCTCAGTGACTACAGCTACAGTCATGAGCACGGCCACAGAGCCCATTCCGGTTTCCAAAACACCTGCGCTTCCACCTCTGCCGCGTTCTGCTACTGTGGCCTTTTCCACGGAGAGTCCGTGGCGTCCGGCTGACAGCAAAGCTGCAGAAGAGGAGAAGCAAGAGAAAGAGAAGAGAGAGAAGGAAGAGTCAGCAATAGAAGAACAGTTAGAAAACACCGAGTTCAGACAATCAGAGGAGGAACAGCAGACGGATAGAAGCTCAGCTGAAGGCAGCGAGGGAAGAGAAGGGGAGGGAGAACAAAGGAACGTCTGGGATTTAGTAAACATATCATCCGGAAAACCTGCCGACCTTAACTTGACAGGTGAGACAGAGGAGACGGTACTGGGAGAGGAGGACAAGCAGGAAGAGACTGGGACAGCAGCAAGATCAACAGAGGAGACACCAGAGATTTTCCCAAGGTTCATGGGACTGTCTGCAGGTCTGCAACAGCCTCAAACATCTCAGCCTCCCAGGAGGTCCGTCTCCAGTGAGGACAAAGCCGGCGTCACAGTGGTGGAAGTGCACGATGAGGAGGATGAGGAAGATACAACCAGAGGGGGCGTGGCGGCAGAGGATGGAGAACCCGGGAAAATCCAAAAGAGCTACTGGAGTCGTCACTTCCTGGTGGACCTGCTGGCGGTGGCCATCCCGGTGGTGCCGACGGTGGCCTGGCTGTGCCGAGGTCCGGTCCGTGACGGCCAGCCCATGTATCACATCGGCTCGCTGCTGAGAGGCTGCTGCACCGTGGCGCTGCACTCCCTGCGCAGGGGAGGGGGCCTGAGGCACTACCCCGCGGGCGGGGGAGACCTGGGGGGGTCACAGATATGACTGAACCGTCGCCGGTCTCTCCCTGCTGCGTCACTCCTCCAGTTGGGTCTGCAGAACGCTGCTTTAAGTGCAAGAAGAGGAAGAACTTCCTGTTGCTCTGGTTGGAGAGTAAGGAAGGGGGGGGGGGGGGGCGCTTTGCAACCTGCTGTCTCTCATTGAAGGGTCCTGCTGTCGCTGCCAAAACATTCACTCTTTGGCTCCTTTGAACTGAATGATCTGCTTGAAAAGATTGTTTCATTTATGAATGTGGAGAAAAGCTGGATTGTCGTCTCGGCCATCGATCATTAGGTGACCATAGATACCGTATTTATATCGGTGAACATGTGAGAGCGAGTTCGCAGGAAGTGGTTGAGCAGCGGGAGCGGAAAGATCCACTCTGATCCAAAGCTTTTTCCCTCATGGTTTCCATCGGTAATGGATTGAATCTGTCTGCCAGGCAGAGCGCTCAGGTATCTGCTGAGGGTAGAAACACAACCAGTCCTGTAAGGCAGCGCTGACCTGCTCAAATGCTAATAAACTGCAGCTAACCGCAGCATATTGCTAAAAACTCTTCCTAATTAATTAAATATAGTATTTCACTTAGAATATTTATGAACAGCCTGTTCAGCAAAAACATGCTAGCAAAGGTGAAATATGTAGAATGATCAGGTGCTTTTTTAAAGCTTTAGATCAGGAGGAATATCAAGGAAACGCCCCTTAGTGGCTCCCTCTAGTGGTCAGACACAGAACAAACAGACTCAAAGGTTTGACTTTAACTATTATTCCTTTCCTCCTTCGTTTAATCTTCACTTTCAGCTGAACTTTTTTCATACATTAGATTTAGTTTTTTGATCCTCCTGTATTCCAAATTAAAGACATTTAATATATGCATAAAACTACTCAAATTATTGGTTTATGTTTGTCTTTTAAACAGATTATTTTATTACAGATGAGGATGAACTCAGTGACTCGGATCAAATAGACGTAAACATTTCATTAACTCCAAAACTAAACATATTGATCAGGCCTTTTATTTTATTTGAATGACATTGATGACAGGAAACGATCCAGAAAATAATTTTTATTACCAAATATAAAAGTATAAAACCTTCAGTGTGTGATTTAATGAACCTAATGATCCTACCTGATCTTCCCTCCCGTTGATCCTTTTCAGAGGATCTTTGGGCTTCATGGGTTAACAAAGTTAAAGGAGCAAACATGGACGCTTTTAATGGTCCCTTTAGATTAACAGGGATTACATCACTGCTGCTGTTCATTTTCCATCAGCGACTAATCCAGACAATGTGACTGAAGCTCCATCCGGTCCGTTTGGTTTAATGAGAGAAAACTTTTTAAACCAGTTTATTTGATGATTTAAATGAATTGATTTATGAAACAAACTGCAGTGAAGCTTCTTAACCCTGTGCATGCCGGAGTTCAGCAGGGTGCAGCGCTGAAACAAGCAGACATGTCTGTCCCTGGTGTGTAAATACTGAATAACAGACATTTAGCTGAGCTGTTAACACTCTAAACATGATGACCAGTTCCTAAAGGAAGCGGTTTGAGGAGCTGCTATCATCAGAGCAGAAGTTCAGACATTTCATGCTACTGCTGCTCTGCCTGGAGGAAAATGGACCCTTTACTCTACGAACATTCAGCCATTTTATTAAGGGAACAGAATGCTGCTTTTCCACATTTGTTTTCTAACATTTAACACCAACTCGTATCTTTTCAATTCAGTTTATTTCTATAGCTCCAATTCACATCATGTCATCTCAGGTCACTTTCCAGTTCACCAGATCATCCAGTCAGATTGATTCAAAGTTTTCTATCTAAGGAAAACCAGCTGATTGCATCGACTCATTGACTCTTCAGCAATCCCTCACACTAAGCATGCTTGTAGCGACAGTGGAGAGGAAAAACTCCCTTTGAACAGGAAGAAACCTCCAGCAGAACCAGACTCAGTGTGAGCGGCCATCTGCTGAGGCCCACTGGGGTTCAAGGAGACAGAAGCAGACATAGAAAAAGAAGCATAGATGGCGGAAGGTGTTGATGGCAGCAGCACAGCTGATATTTCTCTCCAGGATGGAGTCACAGCCAAACAGGAACAGACCAGATGAAGCTACTATGAGAAAAAGCAGAGAGAGCAGAACGTTAGAGATTGAACTAACAGATTCTGCAGAGTGGGAGAATAGAGATAGAATGAAGCAGAATGATGAAAAAGGGGTCCCTATGTCCTCCAGCAGTCTAAGCCTATAGCAGCAGAACTATAGAGATAGCTCAGGATAACCTGAGCCACTCTAACTAGAAGCTTTATCAAAAAGGAAAGTTTTAAGCCTAGCCTTAAAAGTAGACAGGGTGTCTGCCTCACGGACTAAAACTGGTAGTTGGTTCCACAGGAGAGGAGCCTGAGAACTAAAAGATCTGCCTCCCATTCTACTTTTAGAAATTCTAGGAACCACTAGTAAACCTGCAGATTGAGAGCGAAGTGCTCTGTTAGGAACATCAGGAACAATCAGATCTCTGATATAAGATGGAGCTTGGCCATTTAAGGCTTTATATGTGAGAACCACCACTTTCTTTGTAGATGTGTTAGTTGTTCGATGGAGTCCAGCTGCCTGCAGGAGGCATCTGCTTCAGGCTGATGATGCTGGTTGTGTTTCTACCCTGGCAGTTTTTAATCAAATATAAAAATAATAATTTATTTTTCTCTTTATGCAAAGTGTTCTTCATGTATTGTTGAATCCGTCTTCGGCTCAACCCAACAATTAGTTTTCTGTCATAAAATGTTCACATCTGTGGCCGTGAACATTGATCACTGGTCTGTATACCTGTGCTTAATCGTCTGCTTGCTCAAAATGAGCTTAGTTCGCCAGAACAAGCTCGCTCGGCCATCTTTAAAGGATCTTTAAGTCAATCAAAGATTTCGGGGTGAAACTGGGGGGGTTTTAGACAGAGGAAGAAATGAAAGTCTATTATTTGTGCCTTTTTTGCCAGTTTCAGAAAACTGTTTGGAGTTGGAGCCTGAGGGGAATAAAATGGAGATTCTTTATTTTCTACACAGTTACGGTTTCTGCACCTTAAAAAGTGGCGCTGAAGCCCACAGAGTTCGTTAATCTTTAATCACGCAGTGAAACCATGTCTGTAGATCCTCACTGGCTCAGCTGTAACATAGATCTGGATGCAGTGAGTTGTGCTCAGTCTGTGCTGTATATTTCTGCTAAACTTAATGCTCTTGTGCTGTAGCTAGTCTCTAACTGTCGATATGTATCCTGAAGTCCACCTACAGAAGTTAAACCATCACTAAAACAAACTACTGTGTGTCTTACACTGTTTCTCAAATAAACTAGAAACAAAATAATGAACATTTAAAATGTTTTCTCATCAGATATTTAGGTTCCCGTTACATTTAGATGGGTTTTATCTTTTTCTGTGGATCTAGACTGTGTCTCATCTTTACATCAGCTGACCTCATAATTCAAACAGTAATAAGCAGCTTGATGACGGAGCGTCAGCGAAGGAAACTCGCTGAAGAGACCAACAGTTTTTTGATAAATAAATTAATTTAAAAAGCAATATCAATGCAAAGGTATTATACCCACATTTGTTCATGTTTAAACCCCAACTAATTAGTTAACTAATTAACTTAGGTGACAGACCAATAGAGTGGAGCAAGGAATAATCAATGGATCATTATTTATACCTAAATATAATACGTTTGCAGTGATTTAATGAATTTAGCCTTAATCAGTAAGAAAATGAAAATATTGTTTGTCGTCGCGATCACTAAGTCTGAGAGCGGCCATTTTTGCCCAAATATAGTAACCCCTCCCTCCTGCCATCTTCCAGCAGTGACGTCACGGTGCGGTAAGCCTAGCGCCATTCTCCCCGCTTTCCAAGCTAAATCAATGGGAACTACTAGACACATCTGCAATCAACAACAATTATTGAAGATTTCCAGAGGACTTCACCATTGAAATTCACCAGAGCTATAGTGAAACTGACAATGCCCACGTGCATGGCAGCTGGATGCTGGAATACATCGGGTAAAAGTGGAAAAAAGAGTTATTCCACCTTTCTTTGATTCAGTTGATTCAAAGTTTTCTATCTAAGGAAAACCAGCTGATTGCATCGACTCATTGACTCTTCAGCAATCCCTCACACTAAGCACGCTTGTAGCGACAGTGGAGAGGAAAAACTCCCTTTGAACAGGAAGAAACCTCCAGCAGAACCAGGCTCAGTGTGAGCGGCCATCTGCTGAGGCCCACTGGGGTTCAAGGAGACAGAAGCAGACATAGAAAAAGAAGCATAGATACAAAAGGCAACTGTCAACCAGCTCCACAGGCGGCCCCGTCCAGGAAACACACAGCCAGGCAGACGAGCTCCGAGCCAGCTCCCATGTCAGAGGATGAAGAGAGCACATCCAGTTAGTCACAGTCAGAGAAACAGGACTACACTGGAAAACAGGCCAAGCTCCAACATCTAGAAACAAAGGTGTTGATGGCAGCAGCACAGCTGATATTTCTCTCTAATAATAAACTGCTTATTTATCATCATCAGACATGCTCAGAGCAGTTGTTTCTCTCTTTAGATTACGCACCATAATGTTAACTTGAAAGAAAAAAAATAAAACTCATAAAGACTAGATTTATGTTTAAATCCAAAGCTCAAAAGTTGGCTCCTGGAAGTAGCGTAGGATCTTATTTCACGCAGATGACTGATAAAACAGAAATCATTTTAATGCATTTAATTTATGAGGAAATACATTATTATAGTTTATAGTTTAGTACTATTTTTAGAAAGGGAAAAATGTAATTTAGGTCGTCTTTACAAAGTGAGTTTGTAAAGAAATCTGTGGAGTTTGTTTCTTGGAGGTTTTTTAACCTTCAACTTTGGTTCTGCAAACATCTACAGGAAGGGAGGGATTTACCATTAGGCAATACTAGGAGGGTGCCTAGGGCCCCAAGTTCCTGGGGGCCCCATAAAACTGTTTCCATGTATGGTTAATACAACTATTCCTTATTTATGCGCATTAATTATGTTTTTGATTAAATCCATTTGCTGCACATGTTCAGAAAGGTCCAAACAGACAGCAGCAAACCATTTGAAAACAAACCATGCAAAGAGCAGTGTTGCCAACTTAGCGCTTTAGTCGCTATATTTAGCCACTTTTCAGACCCCTCTAGCACTTTGATTTCTAAAAAGCTCCTAGCGCCAAATCTAGAGACTTTTTTCTGCTACTGGAGACTTTGGAGACAACATCTAAAAGCAGCGAACTCTGCTCTCCAGAGCGAGTAAATTGGTAACCCCGCCTCCTGCTCTCCTCTATCTTGTCTGCTGTCATGATTCATGCAGCTATTATTTCATCCAAATGAAAAATGAAGAACAGAGAAGCAGATCATGGCTTGTCTACAGTGAAAAGAAGGACTGGGTTATTTACTTTGGCCTTTTTGGAAACACAGGAAGGAGCAATCAGCTAAGTGAGCTTAGTGCTTGGAGAAAATCTTTCATTCCTTTAGAGACAGCATGAAAAGTCAGCTGAGTACAAAACATAGAGAGGAAAACAAGAAGAAAAGGGACAAGAAGAGAGGGACACAACCTAGAACAGATAATGGATGTCTATTCTATTAACATTTCTACATCTGCAGAATGGGGCTGTTCTATGTGCTGTCTTCTACATTCAGAGGGCCCCTGCCTGTCTTTGCCCAGGGCCCCACATTTCCTAAATCCGCCCCTGCCCACAGATCCAAATGAATCTGGTCTGTAATTTAAGTCCAGTTAAAATTGGTTTTCATGCAATAATTTCCAAAGATGATTTACAGAGAAAAGTTAAGGAGCGCTTCCTAAAGCGACGCTTTGATGTTAAATCCAGGTCAGTATCTTACTTCAGTTTGATGAAGAGATAATAAACCATAAAATGCTTTTCTTCCACTTTAAAGCGCCTTAGTGGCGTAAATGTAGACCAACCAGGATCCAGTCTGACGCCCGGCCTGCTGCTCTTCCTCACTGATCACTCAGCTTGATTTTCTGGCCCCACAAACAGAAGAAGAAATAAACCAGAACCTTCTAACTGGGACGAGATTCTGAGGTTTTCACAGATTAAAAAACTTTTCTGGAAGCTGTTAGCTCCAATGCTAATCTGCAAACTGACTGAAATCTGTTTAAAGAAAGCAAAGCCGTCCCATAATGAAACCAAAATGGTTCCCAGTGAAATCAGCTGGTTTGTCGCATCTGGATGTTATGAAGAAAATTAAATCATTTTCCTGTGATAAAAACATTTTCTTTGCTTTGCTGGGATTTCTGAGTTTTTATCAAAAAAACAGCTTTTTGTTCCATTTGTTTCCTGTTTAAGCAGCTTGTTTTTCTCTTCCTCTTGTAGATTTTATTCATTTTCAGGCTAATTGTTTTTTTTTTTTATTATTATTTACACACGGCTTATTTCCAATTATTAGTGTGAATCAGTAACAGATCTGAATTTTTCCACTGAGCAGGGAAATAATTTAAAACGTGTCAATATACAGATTTTTAACAGTTGACAGGATTACATTATTTAAATTATATCAACTTTATTTAAATATGGTCTCAATTATAGAAAGGTGACACACTGAAAAATTGATCTAAAAATGGGTAAAAATGTCTTAATTTCAGTTGGTAAATAAAATGATCTGCTGATGGGAAGAGACTTAAAATAAAATAAATAGATATCACGCACTTTAAATAAGAGACTGCAGTTTTTTATTTTAAATGTAAATGGCCTTATTTTAATGGTTAGATCAAAGAAAAATGCTCTTATAAGAAAAATTTACTTGGATTTCAACCTTTTAGTGTAAAAACTGAGCGAAGTGAAACCAGAGAATCGCAGTAATCTGTTAAAATCACATATAACTCAGAAGGAAGACGCTTCTTTCAAAAATCATCTTTCATCTGTTTTTCTGACGCTGAATGTGTTTTACTGTGTGGCTAAGAGAGAGAGAGATGGATTGTGGGTAATAACAGACCTGTGTGCTTCCCTTCCTCATGTAGCCATGATGTAAAGCGGGCTTCAGCCCATTCAGGCGCTCATCACCCTGTAAACCATGACTGTATATATCTGAACTTATCTGAAATAACTATTTTAATGCAATAGCAGAGTGTACAGTAAAAAAAGAATGGGGTCCATGCCCCCCCACCGTGTATGAAGACAGAAATAAAGGCCCACGTTAAAGAGCATGAAGAAGCTTCCTGTGGTCTTTGTCTCCATGACAGCCGACAGCGAGGCGGGATGTGTGAACAGAAAGACTTTATTTCCTTTACAATATCATCTCGGTTACATTCGTATATAAACTTTAAGATTTTTGTTTATTGTTTTCTTTTCTTTTTTTTTTTACAGAATGACAGCATTATTTAATCCGATTGCATTTCGACAAAAGAGTACATGCATCTAAAAAAGAACAGCAATAAAAGGAGAAATGTGTGGATGAACATGTGTGTGGGGGGGCGGGGCGGGGCGTGGCGGGGGGGTAATCTAAAGGACTACATTTTAGTTTTACAGGATTTGTTCTCTGAGGCACCACAGAGGATACAGGCTGAAATGGATCCAGGAGAAACGACCTCTTTCAAGGTGATGGAAAGTGCACTTAGTGGGCGGGGCCAGCTCAGGCCCCGCCTCTGAAATAATACCAGCAACAACATGAAAGCTGTTCAGGTTATTGAAACAGCAGAGCGTAGAACAGGCCCCCCAGACTCTCCATCACATGCCGTCAGCCATGCGGCGCCTGCTAACTGGCTGCCATAGGTCGCCATCTGCTGGACGACGCGGGAAACTGCAACGCTCTGAATTTAGGGACAGCGAATGAAAACATGCCGACTTCAGCAAACAGGAGGACATGTCAGTGAAATGGCTCCTACTGGCCCCGCTGAAGGAGACGCCGTCTGAATCCGAACGGCTTCCAATCAACTTTTACAGCATTTTAGAAAAAGGAGGAAATGTCAGCGGCTGGATGTCAGCGAGGAAGCTCTGGACTCATGATGGGATTAATTAACTAACCAAGAAACACTTACTGGTCCTAATCCTGAAGAAAAAGATCAAACCTACTTCTTATCAGACTAAGGAAACATTCAGACACTACAGATGAAAACAGATAAAATGTAGAAAGTAGAAAAAGGTTTTTAACGATATGTTACATGTAATAAAGGAAAGGATGATCGCAACGTGAGGCTGGAGGTCTGTTGCTATGGAGAGAAACGATGGAGGAGAGAAACGATGTTCCGCTCCAGGTCTTCACACCTCAGGGACAGAGTGATCCATGGCGGAGCGCAGCAGACCGCTGGACATCCTGGGGGGAGAGGAAAGCAGTCAGCCATGGGGGGGGGGGGCCTGCAGAACCAGGGGGAAGGCCCCCCCATCGGTTCCAACAACGCTTTCAGGAAATATGTGGAAATCACTTTTCTTTTAAAAATTTTCAGGTTCTTAAAAAATATGCGATAGAGATGAAACATGAAAACTTCTCTCCATAAACAGCCGATTCATTTAAACTGAGAATCCGGCTTGTTTACAGTTAATAAGTTAGAAGAACAGGTTTCATGTCTAATGCTACGTTCACACCAGAAGCTCTCTGAGCAGCAGAAGCAGCAGCTTTACATCCAACAGCTGCGCTGGATGCGCATCACGGTGCAGAAAAAAGCTCCTGCAGCGTCCAGAGCAGCTGAAGCGGCGCCTCATCAGCTTCTGAGGCGTGACGAGCTTCACAACCAGCAGCTGCTGGAGTTGGAAATTTTTTTAATTTTGACTGTTTGACGCGCCGCATCTTTGGCGTTGCATTTTCTTCAAAATGCAAGAGTAAAATAAACCATGCGCAGAATTAGTTTAACATACACGCCAGTATGTTTATCTACCACCGCATAAAAAAAAAATAAATAAAAAATCACACGTGCGAGAAACTGCCGCTCCGAGAGGATAAACCCGTTCTCCAGGCGCGTCTGCTCCTCCCACCAACGCTCAGGATCGTGCTGGGATCTCACCGCACCATTCTCTATCCAGCGGCCATTCATGAGAATGACAGGTTGGGCGGAGACAAACCTCTGTAATCCTCCTCCTGATTGGGCCTTGCAGACACAGGAAGTAGCGTCAGGAAGCCTTTGACTGACAGCTCGTCAACCATAAGTGAAGATGACAGCTGGAGGCGGGACAGTGGCTTCTCCAGAGTATGTGGAAAAAGTGGCACGCATCGGTCAAAGGCTTCCTGACACTATTTCCTGTGTCTGCAAGGCCCAATCAGGAGGAGGCTTGCAGAGGTTTGGCTCCGCCCAACCGGTCAAAACTCATTTTCCTTTGTGCAAATAGAAAATCAGTCCGAGAGCAGAGAGTCTTTCGAGACGCAGCCGTTCTGGAGCGCAACCACTGGATAGAACATTGTGCGTGTGGCGAGATCCCTTGCACGCGTGGGAGGAGCCGGGGCGCCTGGAGAGCGACTTTCTCCTTTCGGAGCGGCAGTTTCTCACGCATGTGTGATTTTGTTCTGCAGTGGTAGATAAACCATGAACAGAAGTAGTTTAACATACATGCAATGTTTATTTTGCTCGTGGGCGTTTTGAAATAAATGCGATGCAATACATATCGACCAATCAGATAAGCTGATCTGGGAGCTGGCAGGGAGTCAGACGCAGCACTGCTGATGCAGAGCGCTATGATCACTCCTCTGGAACAGTTTATTACCTGAAAAACGCTAACATCTACTTCCAGCCGCCACCAACAGGAGGGGATTTGCTGAGATTGTGTTTGGTCTGAACGTAGCATTAGACGTAAACTTTGAGGTAAAGTTTGAGGAGTAAAGAGATGCTCCGCTGCGTTCTTCTGCCTCCTACCTCTTAATCATGTGTTCATAGATGAACTTGGGCATGATGGTGATGGTCATGGTGGTCGGAGAGGAGTTCAGGATGTCCTTGATCTGCGAGTCCTGTAAAAACACAGACGTGTCAGTTGGTTTGATGACATCCAGGAAGCTTTTTAAAAACATCATTTCAGCATTAAAGACTTTGATCTGCTGAGTTGGTCGCTAAAACGGCTTAGCCCAGATTGGTTAGCATCAACATGCTAACGGCTAGCTTCTTGAAGGATTCATTAGAGCGGCTCAGAGTCAAAAGAACGACATCATCAGTGACATCATCGACCTTCTGGGTTCACTGGGAGGGACTCGGATCTGTTTGTCGTTAAAGCAGCGTTTTAACTGAATGCAAAGCCGTTTGCTTCCAGGTCAGCGTGATGATGTCACGTCATCGCTCTCTGACCGCCGCTGCTTCAAGGTTCTAACAGGGCGGAGCGCCCATTCTGTAGAACCAGAACTTCCTGTTGATGAATACAGAAACGTTTGGATCTGCAGGATTGAGGACTTAAACCGCCTTCATTTTTCTTTTCATCCAGTAGCTGAAGCGGTTTTGTGGCGATGCGGGGTCAAAGGTGAGGGGAAGTATGTCTGGATGCAGGGTTCCTGCAGCATGAGGCAACTTCAAGACTTTCTATACTTTAAATACTTTAAATACAAAGTTAGGACCAGCTTCTCAATAAACACAAGATAATGGACTTGTATCTGTGCTCGTCCTGTTGGATCTTAGTGCTGCATTTGATCCAGTTGATCAGAATATTCTTTTAGAAAGACTTGAATATTTTGTTGGAATTAAAGGAACAGCACTAGACTGGTTTAAATCTTATCTATCTGATCGAATTCAGTTTGTTCATGTTAATGATAGATCTTCAACACGCTCAAAGGTTACCTGTGGAGTACCACAGGGATCAGTGCTAGGACCAATTCTCTTTACTTTATACATGCTCCCAATTGGTAGAATTATTAGACAGCATGGGATTAATTTCCACTGTTATGCTGATGATACCCAGCTATATCTGTCTATAATCCAGATGAAGCTAACCCATTACATAGATTACAGGCATGTCTGAAGACAGAAAAACCTGGATGACTCTTAATTTTCTGCTTCTGAATGCAGACAAAACAGAAGTTATAGTCTTTGGACCAGAGTCTCTGAAAAAGAAGCTGATTAGCCAGTCACTTCATTTGGATGGGATTAAACTGATTTCAGATAATAAAGTAAAAAATCTTGGTGTTATTTTTGATCAGGACCTGTCATTTAAATCCCATATCAAAGAGGTTTCTAGAATTTCCTTCTTTCATCTGAGGAATATTGCAGAAATGAGCAATCTCCTGTCCAGGGGTGATGCTGAGAAACTAGTCCATGCATTTGTTACTTCAAGGCTGGACTATTGTAATTCTTTACTATCAGGAAGTCCACAAACTGTAGTTAAAAGCCTTCAGCTGATCCAAAATGCTGCAGCCAGAGTTCTGATGAAAATGAAAAAGAGAGATCATATCTCGCCTATCCTGGCTTCTCTTCATTGGCTTCCTGTTAAATCAAGAATAGAATTTAAAATCCTCCTTCTCACATATAAAGCCTTAAATGGCCAAGCTCCATCTGATATCAGAGATCTGATTGTTCCTTATGTTCCTAACAGAGCACTTCGCTCTCAATCTGCAGGTTTACTAGTGGTTCCTAGAATTTCTAAAAGTAGAATGGGAGGCAGATCTTTTAGTTCTCAGGCTCCTCTCCTGTGGAACCAACTACCAGTTTTAGTCCGTGAGGCAGACACCCTGTCTACTTTTAAGGCTAGACTTAAAACTTTCCTTTTTGATAAAGCTTATAGTTAGAGTGGCTCAGGTTATCCTGATCTATCTTTATAGTTCTGCTGCTATAGGCTTAGACTGCTGGAGGACATAGGGACCCCTTTTTCATCATTCTGCTTCATTCTATCTCTATTCTCTCACTCTGCAGAATCTGTTAGTTCAATCTCTAACGTTCTGCTCTCTCTGCTTTTTCTCATAGTAGCTTCATCTGATCTGTTCCTGTTTAGCTGTGACTCCAACCTGGAGAGAAATATCAGCTGTGCTGCTGCCATCAACACCTTTGTTTCTAGATGTTGGAGCTTGGCCTGTTTTCCAGTGTAGTCCTGTTTCTCTGACTGTGACTAACTGGATGTGCTCTCTTCATCCTCTGACATGGGAGCTGGCTCGGAGCTCGTCTGCCTGGCTGTGTGTTTCCTGGACGGGGCCGCCTGTGGAGCTGGTTGACAGTTGCCTTTTCTATCTATGCTTCTTTTTCTATGTCTGCTAAATTCATTAAATCATCGTACTTAAATCAATTCTTAGTTTCAGGTATAAATAAAGATCCATTGATTATTCCTTGCTAACCAGACTTTTCCCTGAATTTTCCACTTCCCTACATCGTCCAGATAAAAGGTTAGCAGAGCGTCACTCCCAGGTCTGACCGCAGCATCGTTTTTATTGGTTCCGCTATCGCTGCTTGGTAAATGGAAAAACATTAACGTCAACTATTTTAATATTTGATATAGACAAAAAACAAAACAATTTTAAGACCGGTGAAAGACTGATTTAAGACATTTTAACACTAATTAAAGCTGTAGACTCTTTAAGGATCGGCGGGAACTGCGGAGAAAAGGAGCAGGAACTAAAACCAACTGAACCTCTTTCTGTGTCATAAACTGCATATATGGATTATAACCCATTAGATTATAACCCATTAAAGCCTGGCTGAAGCAGGAGTCTGACCTTGAGCCCGATGACGTTCTGACCGTTGATCTCACAGATGTAATGTTCGGTCAGCAGGCCGTTCCGGGCAGCAGAGCCGTCTTTGACCAGAGAGGTGATCTTCCCAGACTTGTAGATGAAGCCCACGTGTCCTGAGCTGTCTTTGTGCATGGTGATGGTGCGCTGGAAAGGCCTTGGAGAGAAAACACCAAGTTACTGCTTCAGCTTTAATGCTAAAAATGCCTCAAATTAAGCTTTAAAAACGTTTTTAAATAAAGATGCGAGTGAAGAAAGGAAGCAGAGGGTCTGTTATGGAGTCAGAAAGGTGTCATAATGTTAGTGAACTTTTAAATCTTAGTAGAACTAAAAGAATAAAAGTTGAAAAAGAAAAAATAATCCAGTTTTTACCGTATAATCTGAGAAACTAAACAAGCAAACATAAAATAAAAAGAATTGGATCTAAGTTCTTCCCCTCAGCTTGAAAAAACACAATTCAGTTAATTATTTTATTAAAATTTTCTTTTTATTGCAGTTTTCCAACTTTCCAATCAGTTTTTTCACATTTAGATTTATTCTGATTCTCATCCTGCTTTTTACTGGAAGAGCTTCTGCATCACAAACTGAACTTTGACCTGCGCTGGAACACGCGGTTTCTGATGCTCTTTGGAGACATTTCTTTTTTTTTTTTTTTAGAGATGCACGATATAATGGGCCCCCTATCGGTATCGGCCTTAAAACTGAATATCGGACATCGGCCCCCCCACCGATATTTAACCCGATATTTGATCAGCTTCTAAAGTCTAAAAAAAAAAAATACTACTTCTTCTTCTTCCTCAAAAACTTCTTTTTTACAGACTTAAAAACTTCTAAAGACGAGGGAAAAAATATTGATCCATTAAAATATCCCAATATCTTCATATGCTGATATATTGCCATTTAAAAACACCATATCAATCTCTTTTACTAATGAAATATTGCTATATGTCATCGTTATGCTACGAAATCCCCCGAAAATTCACCAAATTTAGCCATATTTTTATATGTTGATTTATTGACGCGGTATCGATCTATTTTACTAACAAAATCTCACAAGAATTTGCAAAATATCACGAGAGTTTGTAACAGAACGATGAAATTTCACCAGATTTTGAAAGTAAAATAGATCGATACCGCGTTTTTAAAAATCTATTTGATATCAGCATATGAAAATATATTTGAGTATATTATTTTTCAAAGTGTCAGAAATGGATAACAAAACTGCTATTTTCAATGACTACTTATTTTTGTCCAGCTTTAACATCGGTATCGATATCGGTTATCGGCTACATGAGTTTTAAAATATCGGGATATCGGATATCAGCCAAAATCCAGATATCCTGCATCCCTAGCTTTTTTCTTTAAAAAAAATTCAGTTTTACTGTTTTAAGGAGATAAGGCTTCAGTGGGGTTGAGATAGAATCCCAGTTTTCATCTGATTAAAATAGTTTAATTTTTACAGCTGAATGTATCAGATTTTCTTGAGGTCCAATTCTGATTTTATAGAAAACTATAATTTTAACTTAAATTAAGTTAAAAATATATAAAATTATGATTGTATATTGACCTAATATTCCAAATAATAGCTTTATTTTATTATTTTTGCAATGCTAAGGGATTTTTATTTTGATTTTTAACAATAACCCAAATGAATATTTTCAGTTGGAAGGCATCATCTCTTCCTGCAGCTCTCTTCATGTGTCTGAATCCGTTGCCCTGTTTTTTAGTCCTAGAGCATTTGTTCTAGATCCGCCTCAGAGGCTCCTCACCTGTCCCTCACCACCATCTCAATGCGGGTCTCTGCTGCAGCTTTCAGAGCCTTGTGGGCCTTGTCGGTGCTCCATCCTGCACAGTTCTGACCGTTGATCTGAAGGACCTGATCCCCGAAGCGCAGTCCAGCCAGAGCGGCGGGAGAGTTGGCCTGAACCAGCTGCAGAAACAGCCCCTATGAAAAAAAACAAAAACAAGAGTCAGAGGAGGAAAGAAAAGTTTCAGGATCCCACAGGTTAAAGCATCGACACCTGAGGACCATCCGCCAACATGGCGGCTTTCACTGGAGGGAACGTCTCACCAATGGAAGGACTAACTGGGACCTTAACCTGATCTTTCTACTGGTTCACTTCAAACGGATCCATAAAGGCGAGCCGCGGTTCCCAGAAGCCCAGAGGAACAGAACCCAGGATCTAAAGAAGGTCCAGAGTCGGGCTTCGAGTGCCGCCATCCTGCAGGTCTTAGAGGTTTCTCAGCTTCTGCAGGAAAACCTCTAAAACCTGCAGGACAGCGGGACTCTGGACCTGCCTAAGATCATCTAACCCTGAGATCAGAGCAGAACCATCAGCTTTCTGGACGCTTCCTGTAAGCTGGAGACTGACGTTAAACCAGGTGAGCAGAAATGGTTTTAGAAAAACTATCTTTTTTCCATCTTAAAAACTTTCTTTGGTTTCATTTCTATATTATAATATTAGAACTGCCTCATAACTACAGGACTGGAGAGGCTCTAACACCCAGAAAACATCTATTCCTGATCAAAGGAACATAGATCTAGTCTAAACAGACGGAAGTTTCTCTCCTGATCTGTAACTTCCTGCAGCATGGGGCTCTGCTACCGATGCTGACTCACGTTGTCGATGGCCCTCAGCCGCAGCCCGACCTTCCCATCCTGGTCCTTACAGAGGATGACCTCCCGAAGCCCCGGACGGATCTCTGCCCTCTGGATGCCCACGTCTGCCCCCGTCACGGGGCGGATCATCGCCCCCACGCCTGAGAGGGAGGGGAGGGCCACCTGCTACAAAGGAAGAGGAAATAGGAAGGAAATGTATAGAAATGTTACATTTCAGGTCAGTTTGGGATGGAGAAGCTCAGGATGAAGCATCAGGCGACGGTGTGGAATCCCAGAGAGCCACACGGCACCACATGGCTGCATGGAGGCGGAGCAGCGGCTCCAACATCTATGAAAGCACCAAAACGCTTACACTGTCCGCCACAGGCACCAGCGCCAGGTTCCTCTGCACCTCATCGCTGTTGAGGGCCAGCCCCATGTAGTCGCCCAGCTCCTCCAGGTTCGGGTACAAACCTGAAAGAATGAGGAAGACCACAGCGTCACAGACGGACGGCTGCTAGGAGGCATGAAGCCAGTTCACCTGAAGGAGCAGGCGGCAGCCCAGTGACCGACAATCAGCCTCGTATTTCCAGAAAAAACGCTGATATGTTGGAGCAGCGCAGCCCAGTGACAGATTACTGGGAAAGATCTAAACTCAGCATGATTCTCCTTCTCTGCCCTAAGAGAAACAGATGCTGCTGGTGGGGATGGTGTTCTGTCAGATGAGCATACCCATTTATCCTTTTAGTTTTGTACGTAAAATAAAGTTTAAACTACCTCAGCAGGCCTGTTTCCCTTTATTCATGCACAAAAAAAAACAAAGACACTATTTAATGACTTTTTGGTTGTTGTTTTTTAAGCGTATGGCGATCTGACCTTAAATAGTTGTCTTTTTGTACATGACGTAAGTGATGCACGCCCGTCGAGGTAGTTTAAAGTATATTTTTCATTCAACGCTAAAGGGATAAATGCAAATCTGACGTCCTGCGCTGCGTATTGATTATAGGTATGCTGATCTGACAGAACACCAGCATCCGTTAGCTTTCTGTGGACCGATTCCACCGCTTTTTAACGCTGTTATTTGGCTTTTAACTCCAGGTTTTTAAATTCTTTAACTGCTTTCTGAATTGCATCAAATAGTTTTATTGTAAATGTTCGTTTTTATCATGTATCCACCATGGACTGTTCTCCCTGCTGCCCTCTGGGAAGAGGCTTCCCAGCATTCAATGCAGGACCAGCAGGTTCTGCAGCAGCTTCTTCCCCACCGCCATCACACTGATGAACTGATTGGTCAAATGGGTTATTGTATTTTATTATAACTATACTTTACCATTATATATATATATATATATATATATATATATATATATATATATATATATATATATAAATAAAATTTAGAACTGTAAATTCACAGTAATATGTTTATATTACTGTTATTATTTTTTTTTACTATTTTTCAAGGCTGCACTTTTAAAAAAGATGAAATTGAGCCGTTCTAAACAAAATTTATTTTTGTTTTACACTTGTGTAAACAAAATGACAAATAAATCTAAGTCTACAGAAATAAAGTGAATAGAATGAAATCTCCTCCATCTTGTTTTCATTATTTAGACGCAGAGATTCAGAGAAGAAGTGGTTAATCTGAAGCACAGCGAGTCGCCACCTTCATTCCTCTGCTTTCTAAAGTCCAATTTGTCTCAGATTTGGTTTGCAGGTTTTTAAAACATGCAGCGAGGCCCCGCCCCCGTCTGGTTAGAGGAAGGCGCCTGCAGCCTGCAGGGCATCATGGGTAAAGATGAAGGAAGTCTGAGGAAATGTTGAAGTGATTTGAAATCAGCTTTCAATAAATAAATGAATTCAATAATCTGGCCGATATTTCCAGCTGATTTCTTCTCCTCCTCTTTCATGGAGCTCGCCAGTCTCTCCCTCACCGCCCTCGTCCTATCCCAGCTCAACTGCCAGAGCCGGTCGCCATGGTGACACAGTGAGCTCTGCTGAGGTGAAAACAAAAGAGGAAAAACCCACAGGATTTTGCATCTAAATAGAGGATTCTGAAGGAGTGGGAGAGCTGAGAATCTCTGGCTGACTGCATTTTCATTCTGCTCTGGACTCTCAGACCTACTTTCTCTCAGAATGAGGCCGCCTCCTTCTAGACTCAGGCAGGAATAAACCAGTAGAGAAGAGAAGAAAGAGGCTGAATGAAAAACGTGACTGGAGGAGCTGCGAGGAGGTGTCGGTCTAGAGGGACTCACCTGATCCTGGCATCCCGGCAGGAACAGGCTGGGGCTGGTAGCTTCCCTCGGTGATGGCCGGCATCGGGGCCGTGCTCTGGGCAAACTGGGCCTGAGCCTAGAAAGCCATCAGACACAGCCGTCAATCCAAGCAACATTTTATCAGTTAGACAGATTTCTATTCAGAAGAAAGAGAAACAAACGTGAAAAAAAAGGATTATGTCCAGACTTTTAGCTAGAAAGACTGCTTTACTATCAATATTAGCGATCGTACCACCTGTTTTGGGGAAGTACGGCTTTGGTACGCCCAATTCCCCCTGGAAACTGGGCTCAAATGGTCAAAGTTTCACAAGCAGCAGCTGCTGGAGTTAGAAAAATTTAACTTTTTCTGCTGGATGCGCCGCATCAACCAATCAGAGCAGCTGATCTGGGAGCTGGCAGGGAGTCAGACGCAGCACTGCTGATGCAGAGCGCTATGATCACTCCTCTGAAACAGTTTATTAACGCCTAAATTAACTTCAAATGTAGAAACCTGCCGGCAGAATATGTTGGCTTTATTACTCTGGTGGCTGTGTAGGTACCAGATCTGCTCGGGGCCCCGCCCCTTCTTATGATGTCATCATATGGCAACTCACCTTAGACAAACTGTATTGCTCCCTTTTCTTAAGGATCAAATCTCTTTTGGAGTCTCAACATATTATTCCCAATATTTGCTATTATTTTACATTTAATTGACGATCTAAAGCAGCAAAAATAGAAAACAATCATTCTAAGTCTTAAAGGAAAGAACTGCCTTATAAGACAGACTGAGCTCTGCTATTAAACAAGATGACAAAAAGTCTCAGTTTATTTTTATTCTTTTTATTAAGATCTGAGGGCAGGAAGGACAAACGGAACATCCTAAAAAATGACTTTCATAGAGATTTTAGACGAATAAAACAGTTATTCTACTTGTAGAAAACAAACGGTTGTTGTTCACAGGAATTCAAAAGTAGTGTAGCTTAATATGGCTAACTGAGCGAGCTAAAAGTGGCTAACCTGTTAGCTACTGAGCACAGCTAGCCACAGCGCTACCCAGCTCTTTATATCACGGTCAAATAGTTACTTTGTTCACCAGAAACAGAGTTTTTCACTTTTGTTATCGATCAGCTAAAACTTCATCGGTCGTTGGACACGCTAACGCTACAGAAGTTCCCGACTCGGCACACTGACTCTGCGTGACGTTATGATCGTTGTCTGGGCAACCACAATGCTTTACATCATGTTGCAACGTTCAGCCAATCATGTAGCGTAACGTCACTGGATGAAGCAGGACCCGAGCAGATCTGGGAGCTACAGCCGTCCAATTTGTACCACATACCTGAAAAACGCTAAAATCTATGGAGGACCAGCGTACAATTAATTACACTCAAAAATACAAGAAAATAATTAATATAGGTAGAAATTAAATTATATATACATATATATATGTCTTTTAATTACCTTCTTTATTCACCTTTGTAATAATTACCTTATTTATTCATTGTCTTTTATCTTCAACTTTATTTATTAATTACCTATTTTTTAAGTATTTATTTATGTGCATGTTATAATATTTTTGTCTGTTTTATTCTTTATATTTATTTACCCAATTTATTTCTTCAAGGTTATTTATTTCTGCCTGTTTTAACATTTCTGTTTGCATTTCTGCCTCATTAAGCAAACGAGGAAGGCTGTGTGTTAGAGGGTCACTGTCTCACTCTATAATTTAATTTCTACATACATTTATTTTTGGGGGCAATTAATTAAATGCTTATTTATTCATAGAGCATTTATTTATTTCTGTATTTTTTTTTTTAAATATGGTAGAACTGGTTAAGACCATAAACATCTACGTCCAGCCGCCACCAACAGAAGGGGAAACCCCCTTAGAGGAGAAAAGCCTAAAGATGTGAAACATTCCTAGCTAAAAGCCTGATTACGTCCAATAATAAATCTATGTAGACGTTTCAAGACAAACTGGCTGCGGATTGCAGGTGGAAGAAGAACCTCATCAGCTGTGGGAGAATTATCCTGCCATAATGCAAGAGCACATAATTTCCATTTGAGAAAAGAATTTCATCTTCTTGCACTCAAAACTTATAACGCTCACACTCAAACCATGCGCTCTCTCTCAAATATTTTCTCTTCTCTCTCAAATCTTTGTTTCTTCTCTCAGATTTAATGCTTCTTGCACAGATATTTTCTCCTCTCGCTTGCCTCCTTCACTTCGCGCACAAACCGCGCTCTGCTCGAGTCTCAGATACGCTCGCAAACCCGTAGGCTCTGCTTGCAGATTTTTTTTGCTCTCTCTCAGATTGGATCGGATTGTCGCCTAGCAACCTTTCCAGCCAATAGAACGACAGCCTCAGACAGGGTGCGCTTGTCTAACTCTACTGAGTGTGCCTGTGATAAACCTTACCGACAATAAAATGGCTTTTTATTTTAAAAGCTATTAAAATAAGAAGCTGAAAAACAACAACAATCAGGAAAATAAAAAAAGGAAATAATAAAGTGCGATTCAAGAATCACCAATGAAAAGTAACTTAATTTCTGCTGGAGGCAGAATTAGCATCTGCCCTGACTAGCAAACTTTTTTTTTGTTTTTCTGACGAGCAACTCTGAGGCGGGAGTTTTCTGTTCACATCATGTCACGTCTAAAAATGGATAGCTTTTAAATTAAAAAGCCATTTTATTGTCAGTAAGGTTTATCACAGACACACTCAGTAGAGTTAGACAAGCGCACCCTGTCTGAGGCTGTCGTTCTATTGGCTGTAAAGGTTGCTAGGCGACGATCCGATCCAATCTGAGAGAGAGCAAAAAAAAATCCGCAAGCAGAGCCTACGGGTTTGCGAGCGTAACTGAGACTCGAGCAGAGCGCGGTTTGTGCGCGAAGCGAAGGAGGCAAGCGAGAGGAGAAAATATCTGTGCAAGAAGCATTAAATCTGAGAGAAGAAACAAAGATTTGAGAGAGAAGAGAAAATATTTGAGAGAGAGCGCATGTTTGGAGTGTGAGCATTATAAGTTGAGTGCAAGAAGATGAAATTCTTTTCTCAGATTAAAATGATGTGCTCTTGCATTATGGCAGGATAATTCTCCCATAATCAGCAGCCCTGACCAGTGATTGGTCGGCTGAAAACTAAAACATTAAAACGCCTTCATAGGATCTGGGATTGGCTTCAATCTAAAAACAAAACTACATCCATCTAAAGCAGGAATTTGGGCTTTAAGTCTGAGTTCAGCAGTTAATTGTGTCGCATAGAGAAAAAACCCAGGGAGCCACATCTGAGGAACCAACGTTGCTTCCTGGGTTCCCCAACATCTCATTATCTGGGATCCACAGGCTCATGCAGCGGTTAATTCAACAATGAGGACAGAGAAATGAGGCAGATCCTGGTCGGCCAACATCTTTTTACATTAAAAACAAGTTAAAAAACAATCCACTGATGGGAAGCGTCTTCAAACTTGGAACCATAGTCCAGTGGATTGTTTTTAAGTTTTTTGGATGAACTATGACCTGGATGAATGAGAATCTTCACCATACATCTTACTGCAGTTCAAATAGATTGACAGCAACAGGCTCCTCCTACCTTGATGACCTTGTCGACCTTCAGGTCTTCCAGGGACGGATACAGAGACATTCTGAGGAGAGAAAACAGGCAGCTGTGAGCACAGCGTGTATCTGAGGGGGAAACTTTCTGGGTCAGGTTACCGTCTCATCACTACTGGCAAACATCAGATGAATAAAATATCTGGATGGATTTCAGCTGCTAACAAACCAACAACCAAACATGTTGGTTCTTTAACACTAATCAGACGTTTCATCCAAAATAAACAACTAAAGCCAAATGGAAACACTGACCGCTTCACATAAATGGGCAGAGAGCTGAAGCAAAGAGACTCAGAGCTCTGAGGGTTAGTAAACTATTAAAACGGTAAATTTCCCTCCCAGAAAAATGACTGAGCTCCACAGTAAAACAAACAGCAGCCTGAAAGCAGGAGGAGGAAACGAGAGTCAATCAGCTGACGGAGGTTGAGCAACGGTGCAGCAGAGCTGGGCGAGGCTCGGATTATGAAGGATAACAAACAGAAGCAGCAGCAGGAGTTACGACTCCCTTAACCACAAAACACGTCTGTTTACTGACAGAAAGGTTAAAGTCCATCCAGCTGACCTCGCGTCATCATCATCGCCGTGATGGAAAAACCTTTTCCTTTATTCAAAGCGTGTTGGAGCCATCACCCAGTACTCCAGTTGAGGGGGGATGGTACCCCCCTTCTTAGAAAAATCTTTACAATTATTCCCCCATACCGTCCCCTGTGACAGTTTATTACTGAGTGTGTAAAATTTCTACTATATATTAACAGTAATGGCAGTAAAATGATCCTTTCAACATTTGGTGGTCTGTGGGCTAACGAGTAGACTGAGCAAAATAAATAAACTTAAAGAAGTGTCCTAGCATGACGATGAAGCTGATCCCAGTGGGAAATGAGTCCCTAACCCTGCAGGGGCAGTGATAGCCATGCTAACTATGCAGGGGCAGTGCTAGCCATGCTAACTGTGTAGGGGCAGTGTTAGCCATGCTAACTATGTAGGGGCAGTGATAGCCATGCTAACTATGTAGGGGCAGTGATAGCCATGCTAACTCTGTAGGGGCAGTGATAGCCATGCTAACCATGTAGGGGCAGTGATAGCCATGCTAACTATGCAGGGTCAGTGCTAGCCATGCTAACCATGTAGGGGCAGTGATAGCCATGCTAACTATGCAGGGGCAGTGATAGCCATGCTAACCATGTAGGGGCAGTGATAGCCATGCTAACTATGCAGGGGCAGTGATAGCCATGCTAACTATGTAGGGTCAGTGCTAGCCATGCTAACCATGTAGGGGCAGTGATAGCCATGCTAACTATGCAGGGGCAGTGATAGCCATGCTAACTATGTAGGGGCAGTGATAGCCATGCTAACTATGTAGGGGCAGTGATAGCCATGCTAACCATGTAGGGGCAGTGCTAGCCATGCTAACTGTGTAGGGGCAGTGATAGCCATGCTAACTATGTAGGGGCAGTGATAGCCATGCTAACTATGCAGGGGCAGTGATAGCCATGCTAACTATGTAGGGTCAGTGCTAGCCATGCTAACCATGTAGGGGCAGTGATAGCCATGCTAACTATGCAGGGGCAGTGATAGCCATGCTAACTATGTAGGGGCAGTGCTAGCCATGCTAACTGTGTAGGGGCAGTGATAGCCATGCTAACCATGTAGGGGCAGTGATAGCCATGCTAACTATGTAGGGGCAGTGCTAGCCATGCTAACTGTGTAGGGGCAGTGATAGCCATGCTAACCATGTAGGGGCAGTGATAGCCATGCTAACTATGCAGGGGCAGTGATAGCCATGCTAACTATGCAGGGTCAGTGCTAGCCATGCTAACCATGTAGGGGCAGTGTTAGCCATGCTAACTATGCAGGGGCATTGATAGCCATGCTAACTATGTAGGGTCAGTGCTAGCCACGTTAACTCTGTAGGGGCAGTGTTAGCCATGCTAACTATGTGGAGGCAGTGATAGCCATGCTAACTATGTAGGGGCAGTGTTAGCCATGTTAACTCTGTAGGAGCAGTGTTAGCCATGCTAGCTATGCAGGGGCAGTGACAGCCAAGCTAACTATGTAGGGGCAGTGATAGCCATGCTAACTCTGTAGGGGCAGTGATAGCCTTGCTAACTATGTAGGGGCAGTGTTAGCCATGCTAACCATGCAGGGGAAGTGATAGCCATGCTTACAATGTAGGGTCAGTGCTAGCCATGTTAACTATGTAGGGGCAGTGCTAGCCATGCTAACTCTGTAGGGGCTGTGATAGCAATGCTAACTATGTAGAGGCAGTGCTAGCCATGCTAACTGTGTAGGGGCAGTGATTGCCATGCTAACCATGTAGGGGCAGTGATAGCCATGCTAACTATGCAGGGGCAGTGCTAGCCATGCTAACTGTGTAGGGGCAGTGTTAGCCATGCTAGCTATGCAGGGGCAGTGACAGCCAAGCTAACTATGTAGGGGCAGTGATAGCCATGCTAACTCTGTAGGGGCAGTGATAGCCATGCTAACTATGTAGGGGCAGTGTTAGCCATGCTAACCATGCAGGGGAAGTGATAGCCATGCTTACTATGTAGGGTCAGTGCTAGCCATGTTAACTATATAGGGGCAGTGCTAGCCATGCTAACTCTGTAGGGGCTGTGATAGCAATGCTAACTATGTAGAGGCAGTGCTAGCCATGCTAACTGTGTAGGGGCAGTGATAGCCATGCTAACTATGCAGGGGCAGTGATAGCCATGCTAACTATGTAGGGGCAGTGATAGCCATGCTAACTATGTAGGGGCAGTGATAGCCATGCTAACCATGTAGGGGCAGTGCTAGCCATGCTAACTGTGTAGGGGCAGTGATAGCCATGCTAACTATGTAGGGGCAGTGATAGCCATGCTAACTATGCAGGGGCAGTGATAGCCATGCTAACTATGTAGGGTCAGTGCTAGCCATGCTAACTATGTAGGGGCAGTGATAGCCATGCTAACTATGTAGGGGCAGTGATAGCCATGCTAACTATGTAGGGGCAGTGCTAGCCATGCTAACTGTGTAGGGGCAGTGATAGCCATGCTAACTATGTAGGGGCAGTGATAGCCATGCTAACTATGTAGGGGCAGTGATAGCCATGCTAACTGTGTAGGGGCAGTGATAGCCATGCTAACTATGTAGGGGCAGTGATAGCCATGCTAACTATGTAGGGGCAGTGATAGCCATGCTAACTATGTAGGGGCAGTGCTAGCCATGCTAACCATGTAGGGGCAGTGATAGCCATGCTAACTATGTAGGGGCAGTGCTAGCCATGCTAACTATGTAGGGTCAGTGCTAGCCATGTTAACTATGTAGGGGCAGTGCTAGCCATGCTAACTCTGTAGGAGCAGTGTTAGCCATGCTAGCTATGTAGGGGCAGTGACAGCCATGCTAACTATGTAGGGGCAGTGATAGCCATGCTAACTATGTAGGGGCAGTGATAGCCATGCTAACTATGTAGGAGCAGTGATAGCCATGCTAACTATGTAGGGGCAGTGATAGCCATGCTAACTATGTAGGGTCAGTGCTAGCCATGTTAACTATGTAGGGGCAGTGCTAGCCATGCTAACTCTGTAGGGGCAGTGATAGCCATGCTAACTATGTAGAGGCAGTGATAGCCATGCTAACTGTGTAGGGGCAGTGATAGCCATGCTAACTATGTAGGGGCAGTGATAGCCATGCTAACTATGTAGGGGCAGTGCTAGCCATGCTAACTGTGTAGGGGCAGTGATAGCCATGCTAACTATGCAGGGGCAGTGATAGCCATGCTAACTATGTAGGGGCAGTGATAGCCATGCTAACTCTGTAGGGGCAGTGATAGCCATGCTAACTATGTAGGGGCAGTGATAGCCATGCTAACCATGTAGGGGCAGTGATAGCCATGCTAACTATGTAGGGGCAGTGCTAGCCATGCTAACTATGTAGGGGCAGTGATAGCCATGCTAACTATGTAGGGGCAGTGATAGCCATGCTAACTATGTAGAGGCAGTGATAGCCATGCTAACTGTGTAGGGGCAGTGATAGCCATGCTAACTATGTAGGGGCAGTGATAGCCATGCTAACTGTGTAGGGGCAGTGTTAGCCATGCTAACTGTGTAGGGGCAGTGATAGCCATGCTAACTATGTAGGGGCAGTGATAGCCATGCTAACTCTGTAGGGCAGTGATAGCCATGCTAACTATGTAGGGGCAGTGTTAGCCATGCTAACCATGTAGGGGCAGTGATAGCCATGCTAACTATGTAGGGGCAGTGATAGCCATGCTAACTATGTAGGGGCAGTGCTAGCCATGCTAACTATGTAGGGGCAGTGATAGCCATGCTAACTATGTAGAGGCAGTGATAGCCATGCTAACTGTGTAGGGGCAGTGATAGCCATGCTAACTGTGTAGGGGCAGTGATAGCCATGCTAACTATGTAGGGGCAGTGATAGCCATGCTAACTGTGTAGGGGCAGTGATAGCCATGCTAACTGTGTAGGGGCAGTGATAGCCATGCTAACTATGTAGGGGCAGTGATAGCCATGCTAACTATGTAGGGGCAGTGATAGCCATGCTAACTATGTAGGGGCAGTGATAGCCATGCTAACTGTGTAGGAGCAGTGATAGCCATGCTAACTATGTAGGGGCAGTGATAGCCATGCTAACTATGTAGAGGCAGTGATAGCCATGCTAACTCTGTAGGGGCAGTGTTAGCCATGCTAACTATGTAGGAGCAGTGATAGCCATGCTAACTATGTAGGGGCAGTGATAGCCATGCTAACTCTGTAGGAGCAGTGATAGCCATGCTAACTATGTAGGGGCAGTGATAGCCATGCTAACTATGTAGGGGCAGTGATAGCCATGCTAACTCTGTAGGGGCAGTGATAGCCATGCTAACTATGTAGGGGCAGTGTTAGCCATGCTAACCATGTAGGGGCAGTGATAGCCATGCTAACTATGTAGGGTCAGTGATAGCCATGCTAACTATGTAGGGGCAGTGCTAGCCATGCTAACTGTGTAGGGGCAGTGATAGCCATGCTAACTATGTAGGGGCAGTGCTAGCCATGCTAACTGTGTAGGGGCAGTGATAGCCATGCTAACTCTGTAGGGGCAGTGATAGCCATGCTAACTATGTAGGGGCAGTGATAGCCATGCTAACTGTGTAGGGGCAGTGATAGCCATGCTAGCTATGCAGGAGCAGTGATAGCCATGCTAACTATGTAGGGGCAGTGATAGCCATGCTAACTCTGTAGGGGCAGTGATAGCCATCCCAGTCAGTTCAAGTCGTAGAGAAGCGGCCGTTCCATTTCTGAATTCTCCTGAGTGGTGCACAACTTTACTCAAGTGACTAAAGTGAATGTGATTGGTCTTTTATCAAGGGGGCGGGATTGTTGTGGCGGAAGGTTCACAAGCACGTTTGTTGAATGAAATTATAGGGATTTCTATATTGATATGGGATCATTAACCCATCCGTTAATTCAGTTTATTTCTATAGCTCCAATTCACATCATGTCATCTCAGGTCACTTTCCAGTTCACCAGATCATCCAGTCAGATTGATTCAAAGCTTTCTATCTAAGGAAAACCAGCTGATTGCATCGACTCATTGACTCTTCAGCAATCCCTCACACTAAGCATGCTTGTAGCGACAGTGGAGAGGAAAAACTCCCTTTGAACAGGAAGAAGGCTGACTGGGGTCAATGATCAAAGGGTCAGTTGTTGACATCACATGATCAGGCCGTTTCTAACATCCCACACTGCAAAAAAGTCATAAAAGTAGGAAGGATGTGTTCTGTCATCATATTGGTCAATATTCAAAGCTGGAAGATCAGTTTCATATCAGATGTTTAAAAGGAATCCTCCAAGTAAAACCTGAACAATAGGCTGATGTCAGAGTTTCTCCTCATTTCTAACGGGAGTCATGGAGGCAAACGGGACGACGTTTGGAGGAGCAGAACCTCCCAGGTACCGCAGATAAACCCACCAATGGCTTCCTTTGGGTTTTCCTTCAGCAGTTTATTCCCATTCTGCAACAGAAACATCCTGAGATCTTCATTAAACTATAGATCTATTATTCAAATATGAAAGAGAGACGTCTGCTTCTTTGTCCATAACTCGTCAGAGTTACGTTTATAGAAAGGCTTTTTCAGAGGTGGAGGAAACGTTGAACAGAGTTAACGGATATTTGAATATAAGATACAGCGTAGGACAGATGAAGACACGAAGGACAAACTCCACAACATTAAAGAAAGAAGCTGCATGCAGGCCGCTCTACAGCAAAAAGATCTATGGTTGCCAAGTCAGGAAACTTTAATTTAATTCAGGTTTAAAACAATCAGATGATTTTTTCCTCCATGTCCACCTTAAAAACAACGAGGACAGGATCCTGAGACTAAATGAGGCCTCTCAGGTAGACCAGCAAGCTGAGTCATGTTGACTTTACCGCAGACATGAGGACATAAACCTCTCTGACACCAACCAGCTAAATATCCGCAGAGGCCCTAAAATCAGACGCCTCGGTCCTCCGGCCGCCACTCCATTCTGCTCTCCACGGACAACAGCCTCACTGTGCAGCAGCACAAAGACGCCTGATTCAATATGTCCAACTGTTTACCCTTCAGAGAGTCTCTGTGTCCTCCTCTCAGACAGACATGCAGACTCCAAATGAACAGAAGCTCTCACAACATTAGAGACGGACGAGCAACCAAAGAAACTCTGCATAAAACAGTTACTGCAGGCGGAAGATCTGCAGGAATCGACCAGATAATAACCTGTCAGCTGCAGAACAACATGTTTAGTTTCTTTCTATCAACCAGAGTTAACCTGTTCACCAGCATAGACCTCTGGTGACGCTCGCCTCCCAGTTTCCCTCCTTCCATTTCTATGCAAGTCCACCAAGACTACAGCAGCAAAATATGAAGTTATGAGAGGAAAACATAGATGGAGGCCATTAAACAGAGGAGCAGCCAGAACCCATCAGTGCCTCCAGCTGCTCTGCATGGAGACCATCAGGTACGCTGACCTGTCTGACCTTTACTACCAAAACAGGAAGTTGCTTTTAGAAACCGTTAGTTATTGTCTCAGTAATGATATGCATGAAAAACCCAAACTTCTAACATTGTTATGGAGGCATAACTTTAAGATCAGAAATGATCCTTTGGGGGTCGGTTCATCAGAGGAGCCTAAAACTTTAAGAGAAAAGTCGCTCATATCCAGAATAAAAACTTCTGAAAGTTCTTTAAATCTGAAATGATTCCATCCTGTTCAATAAATGATCAGTGTTTTTAATTCAGAGTAATTTCCATGTGAATGTGCTTTACTGGAGGCATCCATGTTTGTCAAAGAACACTACTGCCACCTACTGGTATGTGACGTCACGGTGCGGTATCGGCTGTTGATCAAGTCCCAGTGCTGTATCTGGTGTTTGTCACAACGCGCTATTATCCAAGTCATCTTGAAAACATTCTTCTTCCAAATGTCGGCTACATATTACGGGTTTTTTTCTCTGGCCAGAAGTTCGATGGCAAATCCTCCCTCTTCAAGTTGGCGATCCAACGACCAACCCGTCCGTGGAGGATCAGGAATCAGAAAGGTGGAATAACTCTTTTTTTCACTTTTACCCGATGTATTCCAGCATCCAGCTGCCATGCACGTGGGCATTGTCAGTTTCACTATAGCTCTGGTGAATTTCAATGGTGAAGTCTTCTGGAAATCTTCAATAATTGTTGTTGATTGCAGATGTGTCTAGTAGTTCCCATTGATTTAGCTTGGAAAGCGGGGAGAATGGCGCTAGGCTTACCGCACCGTGACGTCACTGCTGGAAGATGGCAGGAGGGAGGGGCTACTAGATTTGGGCAAAAATGGCCGCTCACAACGAAAATTAATATTGTTTATCTTTTTACTGATTAAGATTAAATTCATTAAATCACAGGGAATGTATTAGTTTTAGGTATAAATAATGATCCATTGATCATTTCTTGCTGACTTTTCCTTTAATAAAACTTTGTTTACAAGCAATGATTGCAACAGCGAGCAGAAGCTGAGGCACAGGAAGGGATCAAAATGAAGAAGCGAGCTGCAGGAACGTACAGCTGAAAGTCAAACCAGAGAGTTTTGGTCTAAAGCTGAGGAAGAAAAATCAGCTTTTAGGTGACGCAGCAGGTCGGCCATTAACAGAATTAAATTGATTTGTTTCAATAGAAAATATTACTAGGAATGTTTGCATTATAAATACCAGACAGTATAGAGAATCAAATGGAGGATCTATATCAAGACTTTCTTCCTTTGCGGATTAACTCAACCTAAAACATTGGTTTATATTTGAATGCAGGGTAGCATCTATGCTGAATCTCTAAAGAGAACCTATCTAGAAATATGTTCCAGATAACAAACATTTCTAATTAGTATTGAGAGCGAAGTGCTCTGTTAGGGACATTGTTCCTAACAGAGCACTTCGCTCTCAATCTGCAGGTTTACTAGTGGTTCCTAGAATTTCTAAAAGTAGAATGGGAGGCAGATCTTTTAGTTCTCAGGCTCCTCTCCTGTGGAACCAACTACCAGTTTTAGTCCGTGAGGCAGACACCCTGTCTACTTTTAAGGCTAGGCTTAAAACTTTCCTTTTTGATAAAGCTTCTAGTTAGAGTGGCTCAGGTTATCCTGATCTATCTCTATAGTTCTGCTGCTATAGGCTTAGACTGCTGGAGGACATAGGGACCCCTTTTTCATCATTCTGCTTCATTCTATCTCTATTCTCCCACTCTGCAGAATCTGTTAGTTCAATCTCTAACGTTCTGCTCTCTCTGCTTTTTCTCATAGTAGCTTCATCTGGTCTGTTCCTGTTTGGCTGTGACTCCATCCTGGAGAGAAATATCAGCTGTGCTGAAGCCATCAACACCTTTGTTTCTAGATGTTGGAGCTTGGCCTGTTTTCCAGTGTAGTCCTGTTTCTCTGACTGTGACTAACTGGATGTGCTCTCTTCATCCTCTGACATGGGAGCTGGCTCGGAGCTCGTCTGCCTGGCTGTGTGTTTCCTGGACGGGGCCGCCTGTGGAGCTGGTTGACAGTTGCCTTTTGTATCTATGCTTCTTTTTCTATGTCTGCTTCTGTCTCCTTGAACCCCAGTGGGCCTCAGCAGATGGCCGCTCACACTGAGCCTGGTTCTGCTGGAGGTTTCTTCCTGTTCAAAGGGAGTTTTTCCTCTCCACTGTCGCTACAAGCATGCTTAGCGTGAGGGATTGCTGAAGAGTCAATGAGTCGATGCAATCAGCTGGTTTTCCTTAGATAGAAAACTTTGAATCAATCTGACTGGATGATCTGGTGAACTGGAAAGTGACCTGAGATGACATGATGTGAATTGGAGCTATAGAAATAAACTGAATAGAATATGATTAAATAGATTATCCTAGAATATAGAGGTGGGTTTGCCGATATGTTTTCTTATTAATAAATATAATTCTTCCTAACATGAATGGCCCCTTGTGACGTCATCCGTCTAAACCCTAAACTCCAGCCATGGTCTCTGATCTTCATCAGTGAAAACATTGGGAGCCAGTGAGGAAAGCAGCGGACCTGGAACCGGACCGCGGGGCCCGGAAGGAGCGGCGGTTCGCTCCGGTTCTGGGAAAATCGACCCAAACCCGGAAAACTGGGAAACGAGTAAACAAAGCGCAGACAGAAACAGGAATGATCCACTTCGCGTTTACATTTCAAAACTTCATCCGAATCCAAACCGCTTGAAGCCTCGGAGTTCCGGCCCGGTTCTGGAAAGGTTCGGTTTGACCCGGAGCGGGAGGCAGACCGCAGCGGACCGCCTTTGTTAGCCGAACCGACATTAGCCGAAATACCCCCCCCACCCACCCACCGCGGCCCGGACCGGACCGGACCACACCACCATCCTCATCCTCACCTGGACCGTAAATGATGATGATGAAGATGATGATGATACCGTCGGACTCCAAGCAGGCCTCGCGCTCTTCCTTTCCTCAGCTGCTTCTTCTTCGGTCTCTGAAACCTGAGGGGTACTTCTGGAAAGTGACGTCACTGCTGGCTTCCTGCTCGGCGTTGGCGCAGTAAGCCACGCCCCCCATGGGTCACATGAGCTGTGACTCACCACTGTTTACCTGACCAGAGGTATGGCAGGCCGAGTTGACATTTATTAGCTTGAATATGTAATCCAGATGTCTCTATTTCTTCCAATCTAAAATAAACATTTCTAATATATGAAATGTAGTTTCTTACTAGTACAAATGACGTCACGTTTCCCATTCATGTGGATTGGGTTTTTACTTGCAGATATCTAAAATAACTTTCTTCCTATCTAAAAATGAATTCTAATGATGATGAATTTGAATTTCAGATCTGAATAATAGAGTTACTGCTCGTCATAGTTACAATTCCAGATATTAGTATTTGTAGGGGGGATGACAGTGATCAAAAACAGTAACTCGCCCTCCAAAGGGTTAAGCTGTTTCACAGAAACTCCAGCCTTTAGGTTGGAGTTGGCAAACTGGTGTCAAACTGGGACCAGTCCTGGGGAGAACCTTAAGACTGGCATCATGACATCAGTAGACGACTACAGACTGTTTCCCATTCCAGAATGACATCATCACAGCTGGTTTGTTTAGTGAACAACTGAACGGTTCCTTTAACACTGAGAAAGTTCTTTGGAGGTCAAAATAAAATATATTCATATAAAACAAAGAAAGTAGGAAGAGGAAATCCTAATAAGCAGAACAATCAGCTGCAGAGCATGCAGCACTGCTGCCCTGCAGCAGGAAGGTCTCCGGTTTGATTCCCAGCCGAGGGTCATGGTGTAAATGTGTGGGTTCCACTGATCTCTATTCCCTGGATTGCTGATTGCTCTTTGGCAGTACGGGTTGAAGTGAAGCCACCGGCCGCCATATTGGTACTCCCTAGTTAGACCGGTCTCGATGTAAACAATCTGTGCTCTACAGCATCGAACAACCATGATGTTCTCATTTTCAGGGAGACTTTGAAAATAAAGATAAATTCATAACTTTGACACAGACTGGCTGTTTCAGAGCATCAGTAGATTAACTTTAACTTAGAATAAATAAATCGGCCAATCACATTGCAGAGTCATTATGACGTCCATCAATCAGGTAATATAACATGTTATACAATCCATCACAATAACATTAATGTTGAGCAGAATAATACAGATGAGCCAAAAGTGATAAACTGATGATGTTCATGTAATAAACATGGATTGATTACATTGTTAAGGTAATTATATCCTAGATGTCTGATAATAAATTATATATATATATATATATATATATATATATATATATATATATATATATATATATATATATATATATATATATATATATATATATATATATATATATATATATATATATATATATATATATATATATATATATATATATATATATATATATATATATATATATATATATATAATGGGCCCTAACCCTGGAGGCCACGTCTATTATAAGCACAAAAAGTCAAGACTGAAATTTTAAAAGTGATTCTAGTTTTGTCAAGAAGCCAGTAGTGAGGATGAAACCGGCTTCCTGTTGGACCAACTGCAGATAAAACAAGTAAAAACAGAACTACAATCATTCAAACCAGAGGAAATACAGAACAATCTTCTCTTCAGATCATCCAGGTCGTAGTCATTCCAAAAAAGTTAAGGAACAATCCATTGAACTGTGGATTGTTCCTTAACTTTTTTGAACTAGAAATTTGATTCTTAGATAAAAGCAAATGTCTGGAATCCAGAGACGTTGATTGGTCCTCAGCAGGCTGCAGTTTGTGACGGACAGAAGAGAAACTTCCTGTTCAGGAAGGTTAAACTAGAGCTTAATTATAGGCTGTGGTAGAAACAAGAATGATTAATGATCCAACAGACGGCAAATAAAAACATTGACCCACAGCGTCATCTTTATGATTCACCTTTATTTGGAAATTGACAAGAACACGACTGTAATGATGATTGGATCCCATAAAGGATGTCTGATATATGAGCACTAATATCGGTTTGATGAGTGGAACTAGGAAGATTTTAACCACTGATGGAGTTTCTGTTTTCCGTTCAGTGGGGGGGGGGGGGGGGGGGGGGGGGGGGTCAGTCATGTGGTTCCTGTTTGGTCATGTGACCGTGATGCAGCTCAGCCTGAAGCTGATGTCAGTTCTTCATCACATCTATCCTACAGATAATGAAATAAATAATATTTTGAAACTGTTCTTTCTGTGATATTCTGTGATGTTTGCACTGAATTAACTTTAAAATAATATTTGTTGTGAATGTGTTAAATAGGAATAAAACAGTGTGCTGAGACTCTCTGGTCCAGTCAGCAGATGATCAGATGTTTTCCATGAATCAGGCCATCAGAGCGGCGTGGCATGGATCAGCAGTTCAGCTGACCTCCTTTGGCTCATCAGCGTTGCTGGTTCTGGCGTCTCTGTTCTTCTGGACGATACTCCACAGATTCTGAACAGCGTCCAGGTTTCTGACCAATCGGTTCCAGTCCTGCCATGTTTTCCTGCAGCAGCTTCAGGGACCTTTAGTGGTGGGGGGCCGGTCCAGAGTCCTGCTGCAGTTTGGCAAACTATCTCATTAACCTACTCAAATCAAGAGTAAATACACTTAATTTAAGAAATGTTTACTTATTTCTGGATGGTTTTTCCAGTGTAGTGACTCTGGAGGAGCTGACTCCATGGAAATGAGTGATTTAAAATGCAGAACTTTTTCAGATTATTTTCTATTTTTCAGATGTACTTTTGAAAAAGAAAACAGTTTCATTCTGGATTTAAAAGTGCAACAAATACTCTTACCAACGACCAGAGGCGCCAAGTAACAAAGTACAATTACTTTACTTTCCTCGAGTAGAAATATCTGCTATCTATACTTTACTGCAGTAATAATTTTTTAGACAACTTTTTACTTTCTACTCCTAACATTTTAAAAATAGAATCGTTAGTTTTGTCTCATTTTCATTATGACCTTTTGGTTTAAAAAATAAAAACCCATCAAAATAATTAGTTTCTTTAAGACAATTCATTCCTTTTGCTTGGACTAAGTAGAAATATCTGCTATCTATACTTTACTGCAGTAATTATTTTTTAGACTACTTTTTTTTTTACTTTATACTCCTTATGTTTAAAAATAAACTTGTTAGTTTTCTTTCATTTAAGCTCGTTTTCATTATGGCCTGTTGGTTTGAAAAAATAAAAACCATCAAAACGATTAGTTTCATCCTGACAGTTATTTTCTTTGTGGGTGGACTCGGTGCTGCCCCAACTTGTTGCTCACTACAAACCAAAAGAAATAGTTTTTCCAGATGATGCAAAGTTAAATGTTACGCTGTTACCATTAGTTATAAAACTATGAATATAAAGTCTATGGAAGTTATCATCCAGAATTATAGAAAAATGTTCCTTTAATAGAGTAGAGCAGGAAAGCTTCTGGCATTAACAGTTTTTCCTGCATTACTTTAACTTTTATACTTTAAGTAGTTTTAAAAATGTTACACTTTTACTGGAGTAAAAAGCTGAAGTTGATCCTCTAATTTCTATAAAAGCATTTTAAGCAGTAGGATTAATACTGGAGGAATAAACCTGAATACTTCTGACTCCTCTGTTAAAGACAGAGAGGAAAACCCATCAGCATGCATCAGCCACCACTGTGCCCTTCATTGATGATATTTGGCTTTATTTGCTCATCTCAATAAGCAGATAAAAAACTGAGAAACTTTATCTTTTAGTCATCACATTTTGTTGTTGGATAATTGAAGTGAAAGCAAACATCAGTATTTCCTAACCTGGCTTCTTTTCTCTGTGTGGAAATAAAATACAAAGAAATAAGAAAGGAAGGAAGCGTGCAGGCAGAAGGTATTTTCTTTTATTGGAAATACATCATTGGTTGAGTCTGCATACAGTAACATTTCAGCACAGGACTACACAGAACAGGCGGTCCGTCTCAGCTTGGCGGGAGCGTAACGTCGGCAGCCGGTCAGCAGCACACAGACGTTCATTTAAACTCCATTTAAAACGACTTCTGTCAGGTATAAAAAACACTAGTTGGTTTTTTCCTGCCTCCAACGCAGCGGTACTGAAAGGACGCTGCATCAGAGACAGCAAACCTAGAAACGACACCAGCTTCATTATTTCTCAAAGGTAGAAACTTGTCATCAAAGGAAATATTCAAGTTATTACAAAAAATAAAGTCAAACAGAATCGTCTCTGCTCACTTTTGGAAGTTTCAAACATTTCACTCTAATTCAGACGCAGTGCGTGGGGCACTGTCCTCCGCCTGCAGCAATCAGCTATGGCTTTAAATGGGGTTTAAAGAGAAGGAAAGGCAGTCAGGATGCAAACCCAACGCAGAGCTTTCACCCCGTGCACAGATCTAGAGCAAGCAGACAGGGCAAGGTAGGCACACATCAGAGCTATCTACAACTCCTCTTTCTATTCCTCATCTCACTTCCTGCACAAATGTCCATTTAAGGTCACAAGTGGACTGACTGTGCTGCACCATGATTTGTCTAAACTACATGAAACTAAAAGGATTTAATCCTGTAATCCAGCCACTGAAATGATAAAACAAGCTATAAATACCAGAACACACTGACTCATTGCTGCTAGTGATTCATCAGCATATTTATCGCTCCTCACAGCGATCCTACACAAACACAACTCTACATAACAAAAAGAAAACAAAAAATATTCTAAATAATTAAGATTTGTGGAAAATGAGAAGCTTTAATCTGGAGGATGAATGAAAGAAAACTGAAGGTATGAAGCGTAGATCATCCAAGGCTTCTGCTCAGGTCAGCAGGTCAGAGGGCAGCTGGAAGGAGGCAGGAAAAAAAAAGGCAGGATTTTACTGCAAACGAATCCAATTATAGTGAAAATGGAATAAAATTCTCTATTTATTCTAAAGGATGTTTCTGTAAAAATTAAATAATCAATCGCAACATTATGACCAACATGGGGTGAAGATTCCCAGTCATCCAGGTCAGAGTCAGTCCAAAAAAAGCTCAAAATCAATCCACTGGACCTTGTTTCCAGGTTTGAAGACGTTTCTCTTCCATTCAGGAAGGTTTTTCAATTCAAAATGTCAGAAATAGCGTTTAGTTCCAGGTTTTATCCAAAGAACAGAAACTCATCAAAGATGATCTCCAAACCTACAGATACCCAAACTGGCCGTTTGTCAAATCAGCAAAGAAATTCACTGGAAAAAATCTAAATCTAGATGTTCTTGAATTGAGAAGGTAAAAGAGACATTTTGCAAATAGAACAAGACACTTTACATTCAAAATAAGAAAGCACAATTGCATTGTCTTATTTCAAGTGCATTTTATCCAAATATCTTACTTAAAGATTAAAAATACTCATTCCATTGGCAAATCATCTCATTTACCTACTCAAATTAAAGGTAAATACACCTAATTTAAGACATTTTTACTTGTTTCTAGATTGTTTTTCCAGTGTTCAAAAGACACAAAGCAGAACATGATGGTGAGAAGATTAAATGCAAAAAAAATCTCCATCCCATATTTTGCTGGAATCTCTGAAAAACTCGAGAGTATTTTCTCCAAACATAAAATCCCAGAACATTTCAAACCAAACAGAGCCTGAAACAGAGACTAGTTCATCCTAAAGACCTAATCTGAGCAGAGTGTCTGCAGTGAGGAATGCTCTGATCTTTATATGGGAGAAACCAAACAGCCTCTCCACAGACGCATGGCCCAACACAGAAGAGCGCCCTCCTCTGGACAAGACTCTGCGCTACATCTACACCTGATGGACAAAGGACATTCTTTGGAGGACCAGAATGTTCACATTTTGGATAAAGATCATCGGTGAAAGAAAAACCAACCTTAAACAGGTTGGTTTTTCTTTACAGGAGAACAGAAGACCTCACCTATTCAGCCAGGCCAACTATTCCCTCTAACGACCCCCCTTTCAGAGACATAGACAGGTATGGGGCATTGCAGGCTAACAAAGAAGCCAAACGGCCCCCATTCCAAAGGGGGGGACCCGTTCATCCGTTTCTATTTGCATGTTTTCTAAACTAAAACCAGGCTTTGTTGGGCTGCTGGATAAAACCTGGAACTAAACGCTATTTCTGACATTTTGGATTGAAAAAGCTTCCTGGATGGAAGAGAAACGTCTTCAGACTTGGAAACAAAGTCCAGAGGATTGATTTCTAACTTTATGACCAACGATCTGATACTGAATCTGAAGATATTCCGTGTTTTCCTTTAGACTTCAGGCAGAGCTGTGGATGACATCTGAACCATAGCTGAGGGCTTGTTATGCAGTAGAAGCTGGACGGAGGAGGAGGGGTCCTGCCCGGCATGCGGTGCGCTTGGAGGCAGTTAGCAGCACTGATGGGCAACTATAGATCTGCTCTCTGGTTTAATCGTCCTGCTGACGACAGGATTGCTTCTCTTGACTGTTTCCATAGCGATATGTCAGAGTACTGTAGCAGGAGGCTGGGAGGTTTGGGAAACGTTCTTCTGGGTATTTGCTGTTCCTCTACATAGATGGAAGTTGCTTCGAAATGATTAATACCTGAGCTGCAGATATCTGCAGCTGCTCCAGAGTTCCTGCTCTGATTTATGCTCTCTTTGCTCAGCTTGAGGGAGGCGTGTAGGTTTTTTTCTTTTTTTACCTAAAGGGCTGCTGTAATGGCCTGACATTACTGATGATATCTTCCTTTTTAAAGGTATACTATGCAACCGGGGTTGATTTTCCAGCGAGGCTCCCCCCAGAGCGCGAAAGTAAAAGTGCACTGTCGTAAATATGCTCAGCTGTTCTCCTGGTTTCTCCGTCTCCTCTCTCTGTCCGGAGCCCTTTTCCTCTTTCTTGCCTGCTCCGACATGGGCTCTCACTGTTTACTCGCTAGTTCCGCCATGATAACTGCACAAAGATCGCCACTGCGCTAGCAACGAGCATGCCTTTCACTGGGGGCGTGTAGCAGTTCTCGCCGTAAAGCAAGACCGACTCTCGCGAGACTTCTGAGCCTGTGGGTGCGGGCCGAGGGCTCCTGCAATTGCAAGTACGGTATTTCCCCCACAGACCACCAGGGCGGCCGAGAAAACCTTTGTTCGACCTAAAATGACTCATTTAATCATCCAAAACGTTATGGAACACATTAATTAACTGAAAAATGTTGCATAGTATGCCTTTAAAGGACGACTCACCCAAGAATCAACTTTTTATGCTGATTACCTGTGGAGATCGATGTTTTTTTGGTATTCCACGTATTAACTGAACATTTGTTGGGCAGCTGCTCTCTGCTGACTCACTGAGTCCCTGAGTGACCAACAATAAATCTAATGACTTCCTTAAAATGGAAAATCAAATTAAATCATATTTTTCCTCATTTAAAAATGAGTAAATTTAGGTAAATAGCAGTCTTTATGATCTGGCTCGCAAGTGTTAGGATTTGACATTGATGTAGCCTGATACCAGTATGGGGCGGGGCCCCGATCCAGCACTAAAATGTTGGTATCGTTATCGGCAAGTACCAACCAATAGGTCACTGATACCCTTTTGAGAACCAAAAGTTTCTTCAACTATTGTCACCCATTCCAGATAGGCAATAAATAGTTCTACTGGATTCACTTTGTTTTAGTCTTTTTCCTGCTTTACAAAGGAAGGCAGCAGCTGATGGCAATTATTTTACATCCAAGTAGTCTGCAGTTCTTCATAGATACACACACATTAACTTCAAATAGATGGTATCGGTATCGGCGGTACTGCACAGCCAGGTATCGGGTATCCATGATGGGGCCAAAAATGGCATCGGCGCCAGATGAGACCAAGACCAGAGTGTTGGGGTCAGATATTAGCCTACAGCCTCCATCAGGGACAGTGGCAGCCTAGTGGTTAGGGCGTGGCCCCCAGAGAGTCTGGGTTCAAGCCCCCCTCCTGAAGACCTATAGATTCAATAGGTAACACTCTGATGCAGGGATTCTTCCATTTTTCCATTTTTTTCCTCCAAATCCGAAAAATCTAAATCCCACCAAGGAGCGCTGGCGACAGAGGAAGTGGGATTTCAGGGTTAGAGAGCTCTGCTCTGATGATGTCACTTCCTGCTTGGTTCCTCATGACTCAATCAACTCCTCCCAACAGAAACACGTCCACCATAGAGAGATTCCTTTCTCCTGTTTCTATCATTTCATCACTATCGGCTGTTGATCAAGTCCCAGTGCTGTATCTGGTGTTTGTCACAACACACTGTTAAACCTAATTGAATAGAAATGTCACTTCATGCAGCTCTCTTTATATATTTGAATCCTTTGCCCTGTTTTTTAATTCATGCTTTTCTGTGCCCCTGTGGAAAGACGCTGCCCCCTCCTGGCCCCTCCTGACCCCCTCCTGGCCCCTCCTGGCTCCTGGTACATTTGGTCTAGCGAGGTGTTACATTTCGGCAAAAATGGCCGCTCCCAGACTCAGTTATCGCAACGTCAATTTTTGTTCTATTTTTTAACTGATTAACTCTAAATTCGTTTAATTGTAATGAACCAATTAGTTTTAGTTATAAATAATGATCAGTTGATTATTCCTCGCTGGCTGAACTTTTCCTTTAAATGCTAACAGTGAATTTTCTCCAGTGTGAAATTAATAAAGTTAAATTGTTATTATTCAGTCATCATGTGTGACAGGATGCGGCGTCATGATCTAAAGCCTTCAGCATCCAGCAGACGCCGCGCTGCCGTCCTCCTGATCAAAGTGTTTATCAATAAACAGGTCAGAGTTCATCCCAGCTGGTCTGCAGCCGCTCACATCAAACTGAAATTCTCTGATTCTCCGTCCTCCTCCATGGACCCAGACCCCCCCCCCCCCCCCCCCCCCCCCCCCCAATGTTCATTACATCGCTCTGTGGTCATAATGTTCTGGCTGATCAGCAGACACGCAGTGAGACGGGTGCTGCAGTAACGTCATCATCATCATTACTCACAAACAAACATGGCAGCTTTATTCCAGACCCAGCAGCTCCACATCAAAGACCAGCGTGGCGTTGGGGGGGATGATGCCCGGGTGGCCTTTGTTTCCGTAAGCGTAGTCTGGGGAGCAGGTCAGCTTGGCCCTCTGACCCACACTCATCTGGACGCAGACAGAGAGAGGAGTTAATGGCGTCACAGAGCTGCCAGCCGGCGGCCTCATAACGCCGCTTCGTCGGCTGGAGGGAGACGAGATCTCTCAGGAGGCAGAGCAAAGGAAAACATCTAGATTGGTTAATGATGTTTCAGTTTTACTCCATCAGCCTCACTGAGCTTCCAGCCTGAGTGCTCGTCCCAGCAGCCATCAGCGAGGCAGCAAACATTTCCTGAAATTACCCGCGGTGGTTTCAGGAAGTGGGCAGCAGAGGCAACCGTTGCTGTGATGAAATGTGAAGCTTGGATCCAGCTGTTTTTGCCAAGAGTTCACAGTGAATGGAGAGCTTTTCTTATGAAAGCTGCACCATGAAATATTAATAAAGACGTCCCAGAACCTGAATGAGGGCTGCTTCAGCTGGAAGGAGATGCTTCCTGCAGGCTTTAACATCAGGCAGGGAGCTGCAGCAAACTGGATCAGCAGCAGGATCACTTTGGGCCTGATGCTGCTCAGTTCACTCATCAAATGTCGCCTGGGTCTGGTCGCGGACCAGTTTTGCTGGTGTGCTTCTCCACAGTCGGTCTGCAATTTCTAGGGACGCACAGCAGTTTCTCCCCAAAGTGCAAGTCTGTTTTTTAAATGGCGTTCCCCGGCACCTAATCGTGAAGGACGACCAAACAGACGGCCGCAAAGGCACACCAAGGACCAATCACAGCTGCTTTTTGTCTGTGCACTTCCCCTTGAGGTCTGCATGGGTTTGCGACCGTCCGATGCGTAGTCAGGATTTTTTTGAAGTGCGTAACGACGGTTGCAGAACTTCTGCGCGGGGGGCGTGGTCGCGCACAGAGACAGATTTTTTGGGTTGCAGAGGCTATGCGTCAGAAGCATAAATTGGCCTTAAGGCTGATTTATACTCAGAAACCAGGTGGTCTGCTGTGTCGCATTTAACGCAGATATGCCCCGCCCCCTTCCGCAGACACTCTGCTGCACCTCTCCAAAGCTGTAGGTGACCGCAGACAGGAGGCCTCTGATTGGTCAATTCGTACATCCGCTGTTCTCTATGCGTATTTCCTGTTTGGTTCCTTACCGGCTTGTTTTGTTTGTCTGGCTGCCATTGTGGAAAACGACTGAAGATGGAGCAGCTAGCAGAGCGAGGCGAGAACGCTGGGACCCTTTTCCCACCTGGATTCCCGCTCTTTTTGGCCCTCATGTCCCTCCGCTGTTTTTCCTGGGCCGTATCTAGACCACAGCTAGTTCCTGATTGGCCCTTTGGCGCTGTGGCGTGGAATAACACAGCGCAGACCACGCTTTAATGTTGGGCAGAAATCAAAAATGTCTGCATCAAGCTGCTGCAGGAGGATAACCAGGCCTTTACTGTCTATCCATCATTGCTACGGTGAAAGCAAACACAGCGATGGCGACATTTATCGACTCCTGTGCTGTAAACTAAAGTTCATTCAGTAGAGGGAAGCATTGAAGCCTTAAGGGGCTCAGATTGAGCTTTTGGTCAATTAAAAACTCAGCATGTATGTAGACAGATACCCCATGTAAACATAGGTATCACCACTGTAAACATAGAGGAAGGTCAGTGATGCTGCGGGCCTGTTTCTCTACTGAAGGCTTTGGAAACCAGAGCGTCTTTAAAAATAAACTAATCACCAAAAAACTGGTCCTTATTTGCTCTTTCTGGAACTCAATGATTAGAAAAAATTAAACTAAATTAGAACTAAAATAAAAACAGAAATAAAGACAGTCATCTCAGTCCACAAAGGATCTGGACGTTTTTGTAAACAGAAATGAGACTCAAATGGTCTTATTAGTTCACCAGGTCGGTACCCAGCAGCCTACCTGCACCACACCTTCCTCCCAGCCTCGGATCACTTCCTGCTTGCCGACCTTGAACCTGAACGGCTTGTCCCTGTCGCGGGATGAGTCAAACTTCCGTCCGTCTGTCAAGGAGCCTTTGGGAAGAGCAGCAGCACAGAGGAGGAAATCTGTTAGACAAACCAGCAGCTCATTTCCAGCTGCTTCTGATAGTTTCTAACTATAAGAACTGAAATTTACCATCTAGTCTTCTGGCAAAACAATATGTAACATGGAAGAAATGTGGCTGCATGGTGCTGCAGCTGGTAGCACAGCTGCTTTGCAGCTAAAAGGTTCTGGGTTTGATTCCCGACTCTGTTTTTTTCTATCTGGAGTTTGCATATTGTGCCTGTGAATTTCTGGGGACTCTGACTTCTTCCTGTCGTTCCAAAACATGAGTGTTAGGTGTGTGAGTGCATTGTCCTGTCTCTCTTTGTTGCCCTGCGACAGACTGGCGACCTGTGGACCCTCTTTTACCCACAGACTGCTGGAGATGGCTCCAGCTGCACCATGACCCTGATGGAATAGGTGGGAGAACTTTGAGCATGATGAAAGCATGCATAGAATACCTTGTAAATGTATTTACACCTCTGAAACGCTTTTGAAGTGAAGCTGAGACACACTTAATATTATCAGCGTTCTGATGGCATTTTAGCCAAAGGATTTTTATCAAAAACATAGTTAATGTGCAGAAATAAGGAATAGTTGTATTAACCATACATGTGAACAGAGTTTTATGGGGCCCCCATGAACTTGGGGCCATGGGCAGCTGCCTAGTATTGCCTGATGGTAAACCCCCACCCCCACCGCCCCCCCCCCCCCCCCCCCGGCTGATCTTCAGTATATTTTACTGATAGAAGACAGACTGAAGTTTCACTCAATATTTCAACTCAAAGTAGCACATAACCTCTGATTTATTTCTGACATTAATGCAGCCGTTATGCATGAAGGAAACAGGCTAATAAGGAGGGAAACTTTTAGAGTTTGTCTGGTCAAATAGGTCTAAACCTGATCTTTTTGGACTAACCACCAAAATGCTACATGAGAAAACTAACGCTGCTGAACAACCTTAACAATTAGGCAAATGGTAAAATGTAATGATAGGAACCAGTGGGCAGAAAGAAAAAGGTCCCATATAGCGCTTCCTCACCGGTACTTTAACGTGTTTTGGCTCCAAAGCTAACTTTTTTTTTTACAAATGGGCCACAAGGGGTGGAAGTCACTGGGAGGAACATTTTGTTCAGTAGAACCAGAGGGGCTGATTACAGTTGAAGATAGTATGAAATTAATGCATGGGAACCCTAGAAAAAACTATGTTAGAGTCTGCAATAGATCTACATCTGAGTTCTAGGTTCAAAGCTTATCTATGGATTACATAGATTAAACTCCAGTCCTGCAGTGGTTTAAGTTTAGCTCTAGGGTGGGAGTCTATCAACATCCTTATTAGGTTTCAATGTATCAGGATGATCCATCTATTTCTGAATGTCTGCTTCTGTCTCCTTGAACCCCAGTGGGCCTCAGCAGATGGCCGCTCACACTGAGCCTGGTTCTGCTGGAGGTTTCTTCCTGTTCAAAGGGAGTTTTTCCTCTCCACTGTCGCTACAAGCATGCTTAGTGTGAGGGATTGCTGAAGAGTCAATGAGTCGATGCAATCAGCTGGTTTTCCTTAGATAGAAAACTTTGAATCAATCTGACTGGATGATCTGGTTGAACTGGAAAGTGACCTGAAATAGAAATAGACTGGATAGAATTGAACTGAAGCAGGTAAGCTTGAACTTTGAAAAGTTAATGAGAACTCATGGAATGCCTGATAATCATAGGATTATTTTGGAGTTTTTTTTTATTCCACCTCAAATTGCTGGAAATAGAAATAGAAATTTCAGAGGCTAAACACACCCTATGAAATATTCCTAGCTAAAAGCCTGCTTTCAGACGAGCCAATCAGAAATGTGCACCTTCTCACCCCCACCCCCAACTAACTGTTTTTGTTTTGCAGTCATGACACACAGCCGGTACATGTTGGAGCATGTTTCCTTCCCTCACAGCAGAGACACTGATCTCCTGAGTTCAAACCGGGGATTCCAAAAACATCTGATTAGGAATAAAAACATTTTCTTTGGCATTTAGAAGGTAAATAGATGGTATCTAACAGCTTTCTAAAATCGATCCCAGCGGTGCTTCTATAGCTGTTAGCACTAATAATGTGTGTGAGTGCTAATTGATGCAGCGTTTCAGCTCCTCATCGGGATGCAACCTTTCCAGCCTGCTGAGTGGGAGTCCTGTCTGCTGCTGGAAGGCCAGACAGGGGCCTAATGGGATTATAGAGCAGAGCAGAAAGGTTCCATCCAAGGCTGCGCTCCTCATTCCATCAGCCAACAACACACTGCTCACTCCAACATCACTCCAACTGCAGGAACAGCCTTTCAGAAGAACTTTAAAATCCAGGTTTTCATCCTCACACTGCTATTTACAGAATGTCCTGCTTCATGTCTGACGTCAGGCTGCTTGGTGCCTTGTCAGGAAAATGGAGGAGGAGGGAATCCTGAGCATTGGGTGAAACACAGAGTGTCTAACTTCTAAAGAGCAATGTCTCCTGGAGAAGGACTAAATTTAGGCCTTACTGCAGGTTACATAATGTTGGAGCCAGCAGGCTAATGTTACAGCATGTTATTCCCATCCAGCCTGCCAGCGCAAACCCAGACCAGTGTACAGTCTACCACACTGTAAAGAAAAGACCTTCCACCAACCAGTTTGGCAGCTTTGCTTTGACTGATTCAATGTGCTACGAGGATCCAGGGATTCTTCTATGACAACTGGTGTCCAATAAGCTTTTAAAAATGTTTTCTGTTCCAAAAATGACTCGTCAATAATGATATCCAAGGCTAATAAAAATAAAACTTCTTGTTTCATTTCACAGAATAATAAAAACCTCCAAACATGAAGCTTTTCTACAAATCCTGGTACAAGAAAAGATTAAATAAAGCCTCAGTGTTGCATGTCTAGAACAAATACTTCAGCTCTAGTTCTGCAGATGACTTTGCAGTGAATGCAGAAACCTAATGAGCTGTTGAATCAGGGTGACTGACAGGAAGCATGGACCCAAAACCAAATCTGTCAGCTGATGCAATGAGAAGCTCTTCAACAAGGTCAATCAACACAAAGCGTGTCTAAAGCAATCGTTGCACGCAGCTACAATTCAAACTGTACGACAAAACCGCAGGGTTTAAAGTTCACAGCTCACGATGTTTGTTCTCACACTGTACAACCCAAGGCTCTGATGTGATATACCTACTCACACTGTACATCCAAAACTCACATCGGACTCAGCTCCAAGAGATGGCGCTGGTCGGACTCATTAATCTGGAAGAAGAAGAAGAAGAACTCCCTTCTTTGTGCATGCTCAGTGCTCGAGGTTCTGATAAATCGGCTCATAGCTCTGCTGCAACAGCAGGATTTACCCACCCACACATGTGTACCAGTGGCGGCCGGCCCATAGGGGGCGCTGGGGCACCGCCCCCCCTGATAAGAAGAGAGAAACGTAACATATATTTTTAGAAATTAACTCATAAATGTCAGTTTTACTCTCTAGACTGTGTACCTATAAGCAAAACAAATTATATAAACTACATTTCCCTATCTACTGTCATTAATTTGTGGATTTCCACAGACAGACTCCTACCGTCTCTGTTCTGGGGGCGCTGATCAGACAGCCCCACATTTGCAGAGAATCTGTCAATCATGTACTATTGCTAGGTGAATTTAATGGCCAATCAGCGTCTCGGAACTTTATGGTCTTGGGGCGCTGAAAATACTGCGCTTTAACAGGCTTCTGAACCCAAGCGCAGGTGCAGACAATTAGAGGGAAGATGGCGAATGTAACGAACGAGATGCAGCTTCCACCAAACTCGGTGAGATCCTTATTTATCTACCCGTTTGCCAGAAGAACATCCCTGTTGTAGGATATGAACATTTCATGTCATGGTTATTGTGAATGTGACGAATCCACCTCGTCGCTTAAAACAACCTCTCTAACTTTGCGCGCCACACACAAATTCCTGTTATACTGTGCTTGTGAGGACCAATACGCTCGCGCTGAGATCAGTAGCTCTATTAACTTAAAACACACAAGCTGTCCTGGTTACCTGCTGCGTATTGAGGGTGCACACTTAATATTTCAGTGGGGTTAGCCGTGTGTGTGTGTGTGTGTGTGTGTGTGTGGGTATGTGGGGGGTGTGGGTGTGTACGTGTTTATGCTACGGGGACTTGTCATCTTCAGTCTGGCTGCGTCTTTGCTGGGTTCAAACCCAGTTTGGTGTAATTGAATAAGTCAATGAATCTGAGTAAAAGAATTAAGTTGTAAAAATTATTTGTTTTTGTACATCAATTGTTTGTGGAGGTAATATATGGACAAAACTGATTCATGAGAAGAAATCAGAAATAAGAGAGCCTGAGGGGAGGGGCTTAAACTATTTAATGAGGGCTGTGGGAAGAAAAGCGGCAATTTTTGTTTTCTGTTTCTTTGTTACATTGCTGGTAACTGGAGGGAGGCTGAGGCCCAGAGGATCTTATGTTTAGTTTCTTTTGCACCCTGTTTTGAGTTTTTGAGCACAATAAATCACCAACACCGGTAACCCGACTGAGCCTGGATTCTTGGAGGCCAAAGAACCCCGTCACAGTGACCCAAATCATCACTGTTAGTTATTATATAGTAAATTAAATCATTACTGTTAAATTGTATGTATTGTCCAATTGTTTATTTGAATTCTTATTCCGGATTAGTTGGAGACATACACTAGGCTATATCAGCCCCACCAAAAGTATTTTTCACCAGCCGCCACTGATGTGTACTAAACCACGCAGGACACACGATCAGGCTGAAAGTTGGCCCAATCGGAAAAAAATTCTCGCAAGACCAGAGAATTGGCCTGAAAAGGGCAAAAAATCGTACAGTGTATGCCCGGCTTAAGGTCAGGAGAAAATCAAACATATTTGAAATTCTTCCATTTTTTCCATTAATCATTATGGGTAATGTGAGATCTGTAGGAAACAAGATAAAATAACTCCAAGCCTTAGAAAGGACCCAGTCAGAATATCAGCAATGCAGCATTCTGAGTTTAACTGAAACATGGCT